AACTGGCCTCCTCGTCCGTCTGTGGGGGGGGCGGGGGTTTGTCATCCCCTTTCTTGGCTCCAGCCCCCGTGCTGGCCGACTCCGCCGATCCACCATCGCTGGGAGTCTGCGCGGGAGCCGACGGCGGGGCCACCGGCACTCTCCGTGCTTCCGACAAGCGGAGTGCCTCGGTGACACGGGCTAGCTCGGCGGTGAGCCCAGCGATGGTGTCGTCGCGCTTCTCGATCTCCTCTAGGAGATCAATCTTCTCGTTCGCGGCGCGCTCTTTCTCCTTCTGCATCTGGGCCTTGAGGGACATGTTGTAGTACTCGGTGTCCATGCGCACCGAGATTTCCTGCAGCAGTAGGAGGAGGAAAACGTGAGGGCCGCGGTGGTTTGGTTTACACTCCCTACTGCACGTCGGCGACAGTATCGTCGACTTACCTCTGGCTGTATTTGGGTCGGGTCGCGACGCTTGTTGATCGTCTCGGTGTCGACGCTCTCCACCCGTTTCGCCCAGTGCTGGAAGAGGGGGATCCGGCAGAGCTTGGAACCTTGGACGTACGGGTGCCATGGTGTGCGGACTAGCTTCACCGCTAGGTCCTCGGCGACGATGCGGCGCAGCATCAGGAGAGTGCGCCAGAAGTGCACCGCGGCTTTGTCGGCGTCTGACCCCTCGACAGCCTTCCCTTCCGCCTGCCATTTGTCACGGGTACGGGGAGCTCAGAAAAGGTCGGCAACACGACTCGGCGGCAAGCTACGAGGGCGTCGACTAACATACCTCCTTCAGCATGTCGTCGACGCCGGGGAATATGTGCTCGGCGAGGAGCTTCAGGAGCTTCTCGGAGGGCGGCACCCTGCTCCGACCCAAGAAGTAGTCCTGCTTGTACCCCGAGTACCCGGCCTTCTTCATCACCACCCCCACCGGAATGGCGGTGATGTACGCTCGCGTCATCTTGTCGAGAGCCCAGTGTCCAAGCTCCGCGATCTCGGCGCGCGGCGTGCCGTCGATAGCCAGCTCCTGGGCCCCGCCCGCTCGAGCGGCGTGCACGTTCCTCTTGCAGAACACCTTGTTGGTGTCCCACAACTGCCGCGTCCAGCGTTGGTGGGTTGCCGCAGAGAGCTCACCCTGGTCGGTGTCGTTTTTGGCGAAGAACAGGTGCTTCTTGTACCAGCTAGCGCGTGTGCTGGTGTCGACCGGCGGAATGAGGCGGACGCCGTGAAACTGACCGATCTGATCGAGGACGAAGTGCAACCACAGGCCCGTCTCGCCGACGGCGCACAACTCCGCTTCGAGGTGCCGCGCGGCGTAGCTCTGCTGCAGACGAGCATCCTTGGACGTCTTCGAGTTCCGCGCTCCGATGACCATGACGACCGGCTGGTTCTCCGGGTTGATCGAGGAGGTGCTCGCCAGTCGGTACAAGAAGATGTCGGGGAGAGTGATCTCGCGGATGCTTGCACCGCGCAGGAGAGAGTGGTGGGAGAGTAGCGTGAGCACCTTCAAGAGAAGAAACCTCCACAGCGTCTGCGAAGGACCCGTACCCCGCGGGTTCCACGCCTTGGCCGCCCACGCCGGCAGCACCCTGAACATGATCTGGCGGAACTGTTCGGCGGTGTAGGTATCGCCGATGGTTCCGCGACGGCGATCGGCGCAGTTCCTGCCAACAATGCCATGGGCAAGGGGTATTTAGGGCGGCGTCGACAAAGATCATGACAGCAGGAGAGTGGTCGACGTAGGTTAAAACATAAACTCACTTGATGTCCCGCTCGTTCTTGGTGCGGATCATGTACCGCACCTCCGACCTGACCACCGATATCTCCCTCATGATGCTCAGTTCCGTCTCCCGGAAGAGCGTCGCCTCCACTCTCGCCGCCATCTGGCATGCCTTTATGCGCCCGAGGAGCGTGTGTACCGTTGTCGACTGCACCGGCTGTGTTCCTGTGGCGTTGTCGGCCCCCTTGCCGGACTCGGCATCGAGGTTCAACTCCCGAATCATGTACTTCACGTATGCGCGAAGCCGGTCCTTGGTGACCCTAGGGCCGTGCAGCCACACGTGAGACCGGGGGACATCGGCCTCTTGGTCCCAGTTTTTCTTCTTGTTCTCCCGGATGTAGTGCCCTATCTCGTCGACGTGCTTAAGCCTGTACTCCTGCGGAAGCTTGTTGCGAATTTGCTTCAACATCTTCGCCGCCCACCTCTTGTAGTGATAGATCCACGAGGTGTACTGCCTCAGCGTGCTGTTCCTCTCCACGGTTTGCAGGTGGCGAAGAGCGTCCATGACGAGCACGTCTACGCACGCGTAAACCATGTCCTCCTCGACGAAGTCTGCCGCTCTCCACTGTTCGCGCGGCACCGCCAAGTTCTCCTGGTCCTCGTCCTCGTCCTGGTCGAGCAGTATGTCGATGAATTGCAGTTCCCGCCTGAGTCGTTCGTCCAAGGTGCGCGGATTAGAGCTACGAGGTGGACGGTCGTCGTTTTCGTCATCGCTTTCCTCCTCCTCCTCCTCCTCCTCCTCCTCCTCCTCCTCCTCCTCCTCCTCCTCCTCCTCCTCCTCCTCCTCCTCCTCCCCCCCCTCCTCCTCCGCGTCCTCGTCATCGACCTGGTTTCCAGGGGCGGCCGGTGCCGACGAGGTACCTGGCCGACCATTTTGCGTAGGAGTCTGTTTTTTCTTCTTGTTGAACTTCCCTATCGGCGGTGGCGGAACGTCCGTGGTGAAATCCCCTTCTGGGATCTGCGTCAGCTTGTCCAGATCGTAGAGTAACTGCAGGTTGTCTTCGTCGGTAGGTGTCGGACTGTGGTCGGTGGATGTCGGACTGCGGTCGGTGGTCGTCGGACCCTGGTCGGTGGATGGCCTAGCGTCGGACATGTCGACGTCGGCCATGTCGGTACACGTCTGCTGCTCTACCGTCGTCCGTGTGCGTTGGGGAGGTTGTTAAACCACTGCCGGTACTGAGTCACGGGTGCGGTGTACGCCCGAACAGTTGCGCGGCGGTCGTCCTCGAGATGTCCCTCAATAACGTCTATCTCGGCGTCGACCTCGAGATCGCGGGGGGTGGTAAACCAGAGACGGTACTGTGTGACGGGTGCGGCGAACGCGCGAAGCGTCAGGCGGTCTTCGTCTTCTTCGAATTCTCGCTCAAGCGCGTCTAACTCGGCTTCGAGTTCAAGCTGTTCCAGCTGCGCCTTGATGTCGGCGTCTACCGAGTCGGCGGGGGGTGGGATGGGTTGCGGCTGTTGGGCCCTCGGGCGACCTCTGGCCATGCGTCGCCGACTTGCTACGTCGACTCGCGACGTGGAACCTGTGCCGACTTGGACGAACAATCGGCTGTCGAGCAACCTACAGGCGCGATGACAGACTGGCAGCTGAAAATTCTAAGGGAACGAGAGAGCAGGAAGGAACGCAGGAACGGACAAGCGAATGAGCAGGCTCGCGGGGCAACGGACGGGTATGGTCCTGAGCGACTACGATGCTGCCGCGCGTCACGCACACCCCAATGCATCCGCCGCCGTGCATGTGTTCTCGTAAAGGCGGCGCACTGTCCGACGTGGCACGTGCCAGGCATGGCTAGCTGGGCGCCGCGCTGCACGGAAGGGGCGTAAGCCAGTGCCATTCCACGTCGGAATGGGCGTGCGTTACGTGGCTTGCGACCGCCATTGGCGCCCCAGTGCAGAAATTAAGGCAAGCAGACATGGATCTCCCGGAGGCCCGGGATGACTCAAGCACGGCGTGGCAACCATGCCGTGGGGGGCCTATGATCGGCGCCGACTTCCACTCGGCGCGCTTGGCAGAGAACGTGCCGTGTGGCCGGGTTTGTGTGCCTTGGGATGATCTGGTCGACACCGACTTCCCTGGCAACCCGCGATGCCACAAGACAGTGAAGATGTGGACGGTCCGATTTGCGCCGCGTGGGTTTGCACCGCTAGAGCGACGCGTTGCCACGACGCCCACGCGGGTCTCGCACCTCCCTATTGGTCCGCGTGGAGGCATCCGCGGCTCGACGTGGCGAATTTTGTCCGCTGAGATTTCCTTCTCAGGAATCTCCCAGCGCAAACGGGTGTCGTCGGATTGTCGACAATCCCGAGGGCTCCCGAGGCCCCTGGGACGCCATTTGGGCCCGTCTGGGAGCTCGGAGGTCGTCGGGAGGTCGTCAATCCCGAGGGGGGGCCTTGTCCCTTTTGAACCGCGAAATTGGGCGGCATTTTTCGTCCGCTGAGGTATATCATCCCGGAAGTTGTAAAATTTGCAGGCCTGCAAAAAATGGCCGGTTATTGGCCGACACTGAGTCGGCCATGTGGTCGACATGTGCGAAAGAAGTGTCGACCATTTGGTCGACAAAATCCCGGCCAAACCTCATTTTTCAAAATGCTCCCCGATTTTACACGCCCTAAGTGCTTCAGAATCAGAAATTCGTATGGTACATTCTTGTTCGTTTTGCGGTGTTGTCAATAAAGGTACGAATGCAGAGCCTGGGCTAGTTTCCCTGCAACCGTGCATTTTCTGGTCAGGTCCGGTATCCTCTGCAGATTGGTTCGTGCCAGATCGCAACATGATGTCGTTCCAAAGTTGCGGAAACCAGAACGCCGCGGAATGATTCTGCGACCTAACGAACGACATTAGGATGTAACCTCAAGCTATAGCTGCCCTGCGGTCGCGTGTGATATTTATTCGAACTTTCCAAAGTTCGAACTTTTTTGAAAGGCCCTACACGGTAGGGTACAAATGAGACAACATTCGCCACGGTGCAAAGCGGTTTGAGACACACACCCTTCGTGCTGCTTGCTTCCCCATGAAACTACCAAGCTAGGCAGATCGCTTTCTGACAGCCTAGTTCCTTCAGCCTTACATAGCTTCCCCACGAAACTGGCAGTAGTCATCAAGCTCGTAGTCATGCCATTCTATCCGACTTCTCATAATCACTTCACCCGTTGGTCGTTTTAGCAGCTCGTGTACACGAGCCGTGGATTTTTTTACTGGTTTACTGTACAGGGCCTTCCCTGCACCACCCTCGGTATCGCCGCCATGCTATCCGGTGCTGAGTCAGCAGCGCTTCTGTCCGTGCTGGCAGAAGACAAGTCCTTCAAATCTAACGCCGATGCCTTTTCCCGCGCGTTTTCTCCCGCACGCCGCTTCACCGCCTGCTGCGCCCTCTCCATGCTCCTGGAGGTGGGTTTACCGACGCGCTTCGAGGCGTAGTTGTCTTGTTTATAGTGCTCCTCTCTGTCTCGGATACCCGCGCTTATCCCTCCGGCCGGCGTTTCACCGCCTGCTGCGATCTCGCCATGCTCCTGGGAATTGGTCGAAACTCCCTTGTGATTCTTGATTCTCGCACGTGACTGTACAGGATGGGATAGCGTTGAAGGGAACTCAGCGCCTCATCTCACTGTTCCTGCTGCATCACTCTTTTCACAACGAGCCGCCGAAGGACCATCCCTTCGCTCCGCTGCTGCTGCATGTGAGTTCATTCCCCCTGTTCTCTTCTGCTTGCTCATCGTGCTCTTCCTTCTGGATCACGCCTTTCACAGCGAGCCGTTGAGGGACCATCCGTTCGCCCCGCTGCTGCTGCACGGGAAGCACTATCACTATCACGTGAGACCATCGTTCACTGCCTGTGCCTCCCGCCATCAACGAGGCGAACTGCCATTGATCGCCTCCCGCCTTCAACGAGGCGAACCGCCATTGATCGCCTCCCGCCTTCAACGATCAAGTGATAGTGCATTTGTTTTTTCTTCTCTCCACATGTCAGCATCTGAACAAGTCAACATCTCAATGTGTCAACAGCCCAGCATGTGCAGCAACTCAACGAATTAATAACACTCCCGCATCCTCATCCCGCCAACCCTCTTGCCCATATCCCCCTCCACACCCTCAGGTGGCGTCAGAGGCATCCCTGCCTGCCATAGAGCGCTGCTTCGCGCTCAACCTGCTCTCACACTCAATGGCAGATGTGAGTGCTTATAGTAACCGCAGTAACCAATGCAACCACCGGAACCGCCCTCACCTTGCCCTCACCTTGCCCTCACCTTGCCATCACCTTGCCCTCACCTTGCCCTCACCTTGCCATCACCTGCTCTCAGTACCTTTTTCTACCTCTATTTGCTTCGCGCTCAATCTACTCTCACACTCAATGGCAGATGTGAGTGCTCATAGTAACCGTAGTACCCATCCGTACCTTGCACGCTGCTCTTGATACCCGTTTCACCGTGTGTGATGCTCACACCTCTATTTGCTTCGCGCTTCAACCTACTCTCACACGCAATGGCAGATGTCAGTGCTCATAGCAAAGTAACCGCAGTATTCGTTATTACCTTGCACTGACCCGCTCCTAGTAATCATCTTTCTTTACCTCTATCTGTTTGGTGCTCAGCCTGCTCCCGCACTCTCGCCCCTCCCCCCTAGCACAGGAAACAGGTGCTGCCAGATGGGGATCCACTCTCTCACCTCACTCCCTCCCCTCCCCCCACTTACTCGCCCACTCCACAAACTTAGGTTCCCAGCAAGTCAGCGCGGGACTATGTGCACCACTTTAAACCCCCCAACCAGGTGGGTGAGCGTGTGAGGGACGAGACAGTGTGCGTGTGTGAGTGGGGGGGGGCACGCACCGCACTGCTGTTATGAAATCAGGTGGATTCTCAGGTGCCCAACAAGGCAGCTCGGGACTATGCGCTGCACTTCAAACCGCCCAACCAGGTGGGTAAGGACATGAGGGAGAAAGAGTGTGCGTGTGTGTGGGGTGTAGTTGCGTATGGATGGGTGTAGTTGCGTATGGATGGGTGTAGTTGCGTATGGATGGGTGTAGTTGCGTATGGATGGGTATGGATGGGTGTGGGGGATGCGTGAAAGGCAGGCACTGCTGTAGTCTCTTTATGCCCCTTACCATTCAGGGTCTTGTTCGAGCTTAATCGTAGCCCTGAACCTTACCATGAACCTTCGACCTGAACCTAATGGCCAAGCCTTCAACCTGAACCTAACGGTCAAGCCTTCAACCTGAACCTAACGGTCAAGCCTTCAACCTGAACCTAGCCGAGCCTTCAGGCTGAACATAAGCCTGACTGTTAGGTAACAGATTCATACTCGGCCTTAAAAATTCATACTGTGTGCCTTTACTTCCCCGTCCCTTCTGCAGCTCCCTTCACGTGAGGCCATCTACAAGGCACACCCCGACATCGTCCCCTCTCCCTCCTCACGCTCCGCCACATCCTCTGCTTTCAACGCCTCTCCCGCCTTCACTTCTTCATCAGCTTCTCTATTCGCTCCCATTGGCCCCGGCGGTAGCAATGCGTTCAGAGCAGCAGCAGTGCCGCGTGTTCTTAAGTGCTCCAAGCGCACTGTTGCTGAGTGCATGCAAGCACAGGCAGCACAGCAAGCAGGGATGCCTGCAGCGTTGGCATCTCGGGGGTCAAAACAGTTTGAGGAGGATAAAAGAGGCATGACCCCTGGACATGAGACAGCAGCATCGGCAGCATCGGCAGCATTGGCAGCATCGGCAGTATCTGTAGCGTCGTGCATTCAGCTGCTGCAACTGGGAGGAATGGGAGGATTAGGAGGGTTTGAACCTCCATGGATTCGACCCTTGCCACCCCTCCTGCTCCCCAACCTGGCGAGGTACAGTGAATGGGAAGGTTTGGAAGCCAGGCTCGGTGAAGGCACGGAATACAGATGACTTTCTGTTCCGCTTAGAAGCACATGCGTTTTGAGTACACGCTGTGAGTTGCAACTTTTCTGCAAGTATTTTATTGCAAACTTGCACCCCCCCCCCCCCCCTCCCCCCTCCTCCTCTTTTTTTTTTCTTCTTTACGTTACCTCCAGATGAACGGAATTGTTGCAGACTTTTCTCCTGAGGAAGCAGAGGCAGCAGCACCATCAGCAGTATCAGCAGCAGCAACAGACGCTACCCATCCCACTCGGCAAAGCTCAGGAGCGAGGCAAAGATTAGCCGTTTCCAGCCAAGGGGAGCGTGTTGAGGGGGACTCTCATTTGGACCGGACTGGTGCAGGCATGAGTGTGGGGACGGGTGGCAGTCAGGCAGATGGGCGCAGGGAAGGAGAAGGAGCAGGGGAGTTGGAGGAGGAAAGAGGACGGGGAAGGGCAGAGGGAGTGGGTGGGAGGCGTGATGGTGGGGGTGGGGCGAGTGGGGAGGGGGAGAGGGAGGGAGGAGGAAGGGGAGCAGGAGAGGGAAGGGAAGGTGTAAAGGGAGGAGGGAGTGTGGAGTTTCATTTGATGCAAAAGGCGTTGGAAGGTCCACTCATGCCGAGTCAGCAGCAGGTGAGGTTGACTCAGCAGCAGGTGCGCCTGACTCAGCAGCAGGTGAGGCTGACTCGGCAGCACATAAGCCTGACTCAACAGCAGGTTAGGCTGACTCAGCAACACATGAGCCTGACTTGGCTCTGTGTGAGTCTGAGTCAGCAGCATTTTAGGCTGTCGTGGCACCCTCCAATAGGCCTGTGGGTCTGTGGAGAGTGAGTCCAAGGGGACGAGCCAGACGCAAGTGGGTTTGAAGGGAGCGGGTTCGAGGGGAGTGGGTTCGATGGTAGCGGATTCGAGTGGAGGGGGTTCGAGAGAAGGGGGTTCGAGGGAAGCGGGTTTGAGGGAAGTGGGTTCAGGGGAGCGGGTTCGAGGGGAGGGGGTTCGAGGGAAGGGAGTTCGAGGGAAGCGGGTTTGAGGGAAGTGGGTTCAGAAGAGCGGGTTCGAGGGGAGGGGGTTCGAGGGAAGCGGGTTCGAGTGGAGCGGGTTGGAGGGGAGCGGGTTCGAAAGGAGCAAGTTCGAGGGGAGGAAGTTTGAGGGGAGCGGGTTCGAGGGGAGCGGGTTCGAGGGAAGCGGGTTCGAGGGAAGCGGGTTGGAGGTTTGGGCATTCGAAAGGATATGCGTTCGGAAGGATTTTGAAGCGGTATGCTCTCCCAATGGGGACCTGGAGGGTAGTGGGGCGGGCATGTCCCTTCAAAGTCCCTCCAAACGCACTCCCCTCGAATCCACTCCCCCCAAACCCACTCCCCTCGAACCCACTCCCCTCGAACCCACTCCCCTCGAACCCACTCCCCTCGAACCCATTCCCCTCGAACCCGCTCCCATCTGATTCACTCTCCACAAATGCACTTCATTCAAACCCAAAGAGGTCTATCTCTCGATCAGTGCACCTGCTAATCCTTCAAATGGGTCTGCACAATTCGCCTTTTCTGATTCGATTCAGAAATAGACCCTTTTAATCCAAAGGACCGGTAGAAATCCTTGAACTTCATTCGGCCCTTCCCCCTTTCCCCACCATTCATTTCTTCCCACCCCTCCAACAGGAGCTCCTCTCTCTTCTCTCCGCCAATCCGTCTCTCATCACCGCATGTGGCCTGCACCCCTTGACCCTGCCAGTACGTGCCTCCCTTCAAATGTGCCTCAACTGTTCAGGTCCTGTCTCAGCCTCTGCCCTGCTGCTCTAGGTCCTGCTGCCCTGTTCAAAACACACTCACCTGTTCATGTCTTGTCTCAGCCTTTGCCCTGCTGCTCTTTGCTCCGCTTATCAATGTTCGCCTCCCTCCATCCCCTCTCCTCTCTTCCCCTTATAGTGGAACACAATCTAGACATCGCTGTATGTGCCCTCTCTCTCTCTCCGTCTTCCCCGTCGCTTTTTCTTCCTCTATCCTGCTCCTTCTTTCCCCTCTCCCCTCCATCACTCTCCCCCCATCCTCTAGTAGGGCACAATTCAGACATCGCTGCGTGTGCTCTCTCTATCACTCCCTCCCTCTTCCTCCCTTTGTTCTCCTCACTTTCTCTCTCCCCTCCCTCTATCACCCCCCAGCCTCTAGTGGAACACAACCCAGACATTGCTGCATGTGCGCTCACTCTGCTGCTGGCATCGCAACCTGCATTCGAGTAAGCATCAATAAGGGATTCGTATTGAATTGCAGAAGGGATGGGGTGGTGAAGATTCCACATGGAAATGTGAAATGCTGTTGTGCTGCTGCACCTCCAGTGCAGGTAGCTGCGGAGGGTGTGAGCCGACTTTTGAGTCGACTCAAAAGTCACCTCTGTTGTGCTGCTGCACGTCCAGTCCAGGTAGCTGCGGAGGGTGTGAGCCTAGTGGTCAAGGTCGTGGACTTGCCACCAGGCCGTGGACTTGCCACTAGGCCGTGGACTTGCCACTAGGCCGTGGACTTGCCACTAGGCCGTGGACTTGCCACTAGGCCGTGGACTTGCCACTAGGCCGTGGACTTGCCACTAGGCCGTGGACTTGCCACTAGGCCGTGGACTTGCCACTAGGCCGTGGACTTGCCACTAGGCCGTGGACTTGCCACTAGGCCGTGGACTTGAACCCATGATCAATCCATGGTGCCTCTGCTTTCAGCCGAGACGTGCGCTGAAGGCCACTCAGAACCAGCCAGTCAACCCTTTGAGGAGCTATCCCTTTTTGCCGAGTCGTTTGCTCCTTCTCTCGACCCATATGGCTCTACTCTTGACCCATCGGCTCCTCCTTTTGAGCCGTTTGGCTCGCCGGCTGTTCTTGTGACTCCTCCTTCATCTGCTGCCCCCCTTTCCCGCCAGTACTCCTTCCCAGCTGTCTCACTCGCTGCTTCTCCTCCCTGCGTCCCTCTCTCCATCGCCCGTCCTCATCCCTGCCCACCGCTCACCATTGATGTTCACGCCTCTAGTGAGAGAAGTGCATGGGAAGGGGAGGAGGAGCAGCAGTGGCATCAGATGCAGCAATGCAGCGGCACTGGAAACAGGAGGAAGAGAGGAAGACGGAGGAGGGGGAAGAGGGGGAGGAGGAGGAGACAGAAGAGGTGGAGGAGGAAGAGGAGCACGGAGAGGAGGAAGGAGGGGGGGAGAATGGAGCAGTGCAGGGGCACCGTGGACTTGCCACTAGGCCGGACTTGCCACTAGGCCGTGGACTTGCCACTTTACCCCTCGTGATCTGACTTGATTCGTCCTCTCTCCCACTCCCAACCCCAGGTACCTTGAGGTGTTGACTTGCCCCTCACTCTCCACTCACCCAAGGCCGTTGACTTGCCATTCTCAGTCCTTCACTCAACTTGCCCCATCCATCTGAAATTCGCTCCTAACTTTTCTTTCCAACCCAGATACCTGGAGGTGCTGTCTAAGCTTCCCCTCACTCTCCACTCACTAGAGGTGGTGAGACGGGTGGCAGAGGAAGCTAACTTGCAACTCGCCCACTCCTGTTCCCCCGGGACCCCTTTTGACCCCCTTCAGGTGCCTGGAGGTGCTGTCTCAGCTGCCCCTCACTCTCCACTCACTAGAGGTGGTGAGCCGGGTGGCAAAGGCCGTTGACTTGCCACTCCCCCTCTTCACTGTCTTGACTTGTTACTTCACCCTCCCACCATTCCACCCCCAGGTACCTGGAGGTGCTGTCTCAGCTGCCCCTCACTCTCCACTCACTAGAGGTGGTGAGCCGGGTGGCAAAGGCCGTTGACTTGCCACTCCCCCTCTTCACAGTCTTGACTTGTTACTTCACCCTCCCACCATTCCACCCCCAGGTACCTGGAGGTGCTGTCTCAGCTGCCCCTCACTCTCCACTCACTAGAGGTGGTGAGCCGGGTGGCAAAGGCCGTTGACTTGCCACTCCCCCTCTTCACTGTCTTGACTTGTTACTTCACCCTCCCACCATTCCACCCCCAGGTACCTGGAGGTGCTGTCTCAGCTGCCCCTCACTCTCCACTCACTAGAGGTGGTGAGCCGGGTGGCAAAGGCCGTTGACTTGCCACTCCCCCCTTGCACTGCTTTGACTCGACCTGTTACTTCACCCTCCCACCATTCCAACCGCAGGTACCTGGAGGTGCTGTCTCAGCTGCCCCTCACCCTGCACTCACTCGAGGTGGTGAGCCGAGTGGCAAAGGCTGTTGACTTACCACCCGATTTCATCCACTCATACGCCAGTCACTGCATGCGGTGCTGTGAGGAGACCAAGGTGGGTCAAACGGCTATATCTGAAAAAAAAAAAAAAAAAGAGAGACTTGCCACCCGATTTTATTTACTCATATGCCAGCTACTGCATGCGGTGCTGCGAGGAAACTAAGGTGGGTGGGTAATCAAGTTTCCATTGAGAACCTATGTGTACGGACGCGAGGTTAGCAAGTACGTGAGCAAGTGCGCGAGCAAGTGTACATTGAGCAAGTGTACATTGTGCAAGTGTACATTGAGCAAGTGTACATTGAGCAAGTGTACGTTGAGCAAGTGTACATTGAGCAAGTGTACATTGAGCAAGTGTACATTGAGCAAGAGTGTGAGCAAGTGCGAACTGAGTGCGTGTGTGGTGAGCAAGTGTAAGGCTGTGCTCTTTTGTGCCCAACCCAACCCAACCCAACCCAACCCAACCCATCCCCACACCTGCAGGATAAGAGCATGCAGAATCGCCTGGTGCGAATCGTCTGCATCTTCTTACTGAGTCTCATCCGAGATAACATCATCAACGGTACACCCACTTAAATACTTCTTATGCCAACATGCTTGCTCTTCAAGTTACCGCAATCTACTCTCCTAAGTCTCCGTTTCAATGGAGCCACCTCTGTTTCGCCCCCACATGTGCACCCAATGATTTTCCTCCAACCACTTTTAGCCATATAACTATAATATCATCTTGCAAACCCGTTTTTGCATGTGGCAGTGGAGGCGCTGTTCATAGAGATGCAGGCATTCTGTATCGAGTATTCGCGGGTCAGGGAAGCAGCAGCCCTCTTCCGCATGCTCAAATCCCTCGAGTGACCCTCAGTATCCTACAAGTTAGCTCTCTTACCACTAGTTGGCTCAGTCTCAGATATCATGCAATTGGCTCGGATTGTATCAGTTGGCTGATGCATTGTACCGGTAGCTTGACATGCCTGATGTGTCTAAAATCCTATGTTCAAATCCTATGTCCATGAGTCACGCAAGACACGTGTTGTGTAGACTAGAAGGCGTGGTTTCAAAGCATCAGTACAGGTTTCTAGTGGAGGTTTTGGTGGAAGTGATGGAAAGTTTTTCAAGTCTTTGCAACAGCATACGGTACAGGTTTGGCAACAACAGCCCGTGAGGTAAAAGTTCCTGGCTGGATGTAATGGTTGCATGTCCATATCGAAATGCCTTCACACATGGAATGGATTGCAAGACTGTACATCAAGAATCCCATCCTAGGATGGACAGACAGCTAGGCAGATGACTGCTGCTGTTTTGGGCTGCAGGTGACTCCCGCAATGTTATGTCAGTCCCGAGGTTGGACGCACAGTTTCTAATGCGGGTCAACTACATTTCTAAGCTAGGAGATTACGAAACACCATAGCATGACTCAATTGTTACTGTAGCTTTCTACTTGGGCATCCTCGTACCGGCGGGAATGATAACTTTGTCCACTCCGTGAGCAATGAAGTACGGCCCAGAGTAGATCCTCGGGATCTTGATCGACGTCCACGTGGCAGCAGGCGCTTTCGGACCCCTGGCAAACGACACGACGTTCGCACCTTTCGCCGAGATCTTGTAAAGAGCCTGCTTCAATTGAGTACGAAGCGGCTGAGCTTGCTTGAAGGTCCTGAAATTCGGAACGGTGTATTTTTTAGCGATGATGTGGTATGCAGTGATGTTGTAGACGGTGGGGATGTTGCTTTTCGTAGCGGGGATCTTCTTAGCGAGGGCTTCGGCTTCTGTGTTGCTGGGGAGGAGGATGGTGGCATCCGCGAGGGCTGAGAAGTCGTATTTGGAGTTGAGCGCGAGGCCGATGTACTTGTTGATGTCCTCGGCGTATTTCGCATACTGCGGGTAACGTTTCGTGATGGTGGTCGCCATTTTATTTAGTTCCGCCTTGAGCTGCGCCTTGGTAGGCTTGGCCTTGGGCTTCGTTTGTGCGTTCGCGCCAGCTACGCATAGGGCGACGCAAATTATCCCGAAAACGAAAAGGGCTCGAAGTTTAGCCATCGCTAGGCGAGAATGAAAGAACTGCTGAGGGAAGCAGTCTAGGATCGAATATAAGAATGTTGTCAGCGAGAAAGACGCTAGATTTTAAAAGCGTCTACAAATGAACGAAATTCGGGAAAAAGGAATGAGAGCTCGATACTTGAGTTGGAGATTGTGAGTCTGTCGGTTCGAAATTGTCGTCAGCGAGGGTATTTGTAGCTCCTTGTGTGAATTGCAGGGGGGAGGCAGGTTCTGCCTGCCAGCGGAAATGGTTTCAAGAAAGGCGGTGCTGCAGCAAGCACGGCAGTTTCCAGGGTTGACGCGGCGAAACGCTAGCTCCGAATTCGCAGGGAGTGGACTCGGTGTGGCGAAACCAGCTGGCGATTTTGCGGCGACAGGTGCTGCTGGCCTAGCGCGCAGGTAGGGGAGCGGTGGTCCGGGTCGCGCTGACCGACAAATTGGCGGCTGTGGACGGAAGAGGTGGCGAAGGTCTGGCGAAGGAAAGTTTTTTCGGTAACGATCGTCATCGAAAACACATTGCCCATCTGTCACTGTATTGGGAATTGGAGGCTCCGTTCGCGTTACGTGCAACTAATAACATGGATAATTTCCAAGATGAACACGGTGGATTTGACTGCATGTGAGCATGCCACGTGTAACCACATTTGCCTTTGAGTCCTGATATTTCTTGGACCTCACCCAAACACAATCCGTCGAATCAGTTGGATCAGTTGGATTGACCAATTCGCGCCAGTCAGAGGGAGCCTGGGTTGAAGCAGCAGCATGCTTGAAGGAGCTCAGACCTTCAACAGCAGACCAATAAACTCCTTCAACGGCGGAGAGGAGATCCTTCAAGAACCTTGACCCTGAGCTCCAGGAAGAGATTAGCTGGAGGAGTTCGGGCATGCATCGCTTACAGTTACCTAAGAATCAGGGCCTCCATCGACGAACCTACAACCCCATTGCACGATAGTATCGTATTTTCGCACACATAGTTTGCGATCCGCTAGCCTCCTCCAGACTTCTCTCGAGTCGCATTGCCTAGTGTCACGCGCCGCGTCCTGCAATGCAGTCGCAAAGAGCTTGGTTCGCGCTAGCCTGGTTTCCCTATGTTCCCCAAACCGAGGTACCACGAGCGCGCAAGTCACGTGTTATGTGCAGTCGCCAGAGTTCAACACAACTGAGCAGATGTGGTTTCAAAGCTTCCAAACATTACACCAGTTTGTGAGAGTTTTGGTTAGGTGTGATTGGTTGACATCTTCACATGAATCAGGATTACATAGGCAAAGGCCTCACGCTGTAAACTGTACGTACATTCCCTGATTCTCCCTCACCTGTATTAGTAGCTTTCCACCATGACCCAGTGTGGTAAAACGCTTCTGAATCTACAAGTGCAGGCAACGGCCTTCACACATGGAACGGTTGCTAGGCTATGTACATCACTCATCCCATCCCAGGTTGGGCAGCCAGCTACGCAGATGTCTGCTGCTGTCTTCTTGGCAGGTAAATCCGCTATGTCAGGTCAGTTCAAAGGTTTGACAGACAGTTACTGATGCAGGCTGAGTACACTTTCAAAAGCTAGCGTAGAACGTGTTTACTCAGATTTACTGTAGTTTCCTACTTGGGCAATCTCGTGCCCGCGGGAATCAAAATTTTATCCACGCCGTGAGCAATGAAGTACGGCCCAGCGTAAATCCTCGGGATCTTGATCGTCGTCCACGCAGCAACTGGTGCTTTAGGACCAATAGCAAACGACACGGCGTTCGCGTTTTGCAGCGAGCTCTTGTAAAGAGGCTGCTTCAATTGAGTACGAAGCGGTTGGCCCTTCTTGAAAGCTCTCATGTTTGGAACGGTGAGTTTTCTGGCGATGATGTGGTACGCGGTGATGTTGTAGATGATAGGGATGTTGCTGTTCTTAGCGGGGATTTTTTTAGCGAGGGCTTGGGCTTCTGTGTTGTTGGGAAGGAGGATGGTGGCGTCGGCGAGGGCTGAGAAGTCGTATTTGGAGTTTACTGGACAAGGAGAGATGAATAGGGAAGAGGGGTGTTTGAGGGAGGAATGGGGGAAGGTGGGGGAGGGGGGGAGGGGGAAGGAGAGGAGAGGAAAGCGTGAGGAGCAGATTGGAGGAAAAAAGCTTGGGAAGCTTTGTCTCAAAAAAGATTCAGAAATGTTACAGCAAGACCAAAATAGGTACTAATCCGTTGGCAACAGGACAGAAGCAGCAGCGATATCGTCAATTCGCAAGTTATTTCCTACCAGAATAATAATACTCGTGGATAACGAAGTGCTTACGTGCAAGGCCGATGTACTTGTTGATGTCCTTGGCGTATTTCGCATATTGCGGGTAACGTTTCGTGATGGTGGTCGCCATCTTCTTCAGCTCCGCCTTGAGCTGCGCCTTGGTGGGCTTCGGCTTCGCTTGTGCGCTCGCGCCAGCTATACAGAGAGCGATGCAGATGATTCCGAGGACAAGTAAGGTTCGTGAATTAGCCATCACGGCACGGAGAGGAAGGATTCGCAGAGGTAAACAGACTAATGGGGGCCGATTGAGGGATTCTGTTAGAAAGAAAGTCGCTGGAGCCTGGATTTGTTCCCAAGAAAGATCTGGGTAAAAACGAAGGATGGCTCGGCTTTTTTAGTTGGGACTAGAAGCGTTTCTGAGGTTGTCGTAACGGTCGTCAGCGTCTTCAAGATTCACACTGTCGGTTGTGCTGTGTGTGCGGAGCGGAGGTTGCAAGACAGCGGGGATGAAATCAAGAAAGGTGGTGCTAGAGCAGGCAAGGCAGTTTCGAGGCTTTACGCAGCGAAAGGGTAACCTAGTTTCGCATGCAAAGGACGGCTGAGGCGAAACCACCTAGCGATTTTGAAGCGACGTGACCCTGGTGGTTAGGGGAGTGGTGGTGCGAGATGCGCCGACCAAGAAAATGGCGGCTGAGAAAGGGAGGTCGCGAAGGTCTGGCGAAGGAAAGCCCTTTTCGACAAGGTCGTCGTTACATCATCAGCAACGTACTGAACGAACAGGCGAATAATCAAGCAGCTGTTACACGTCTTAGTGTAAATGTTAGCCATGCATCATATATTGGTTTGTTGTGAACCTCTTGAAATGTTAACGAAACTTCTCGTAGTATGGACTTCGCGAAAACGAACACGGAGGATTTGACGCTCCGTGATGACGCCACGTGTAACAGATTCACGCTCATGGCTCCCACAGGTCTTCCACTTTCTGGGGCCTCACCCAAACGCAATCCCTCGTTACAGCAACCCAGCGACCTTCCCGTCAGCATGTCCAATTTTGCTGGCCTTGATTCTGCCGCCAAGCCTCCGACCCCAGTCAGACGGATTAGCCCAAGAAATTCGCTCCAGAAAGCGAGCTCAAGCCAATCAAACCGCTTGAGCAGAAGCAGAGTAGTTCTGACCAGACCCCTTCACCAGCAGAGATTCCCCAAGAACCTCACTCTGAGCTTCAGCGTAAGATTGGCTGGAGGAATCTAACAGGTCGGGCATCGCTAAAAGTTCCCTACGGATAGACCTTCATTTGACGATCCCACAAGAAGCAACTCATTTGACGATACTTCCGCGTCTTCGTTCACGTAGTTTTTAAATGGCTTCCGCTAGCCTCCTCCAGACTTCACTCGAGTCGCATTGCCTAGTGTCACGCGCTGCGTCCTGCAATGCGGCCGCAAAGAGCTCGGTTCGCGCTAGTCTCAGCGCTTCGAGTCTGAGATTGCCACTTGGCGGCAGGAGACTGGCCACCGAAGCGCAGAAGAGGACCATTGTGAACGCTGGCCGTACGATCGTTGTCGCTTCGGCAGAAACTGACAAGAAGTCAGGTATTCAGCTGCTGCATGCACGCATTTTCACAGCACTGATTCATGCGGATTAAAGTCGTACCAGATTATCACAACGTACGCCGTTAGGAAGCTGTTATAGATTGATGCGAAATATTTTCCCGTATGCTCCTTTCTTTCTTCTCTTAGCCTCTGCAAAAATGGTTGTCAGCACACAACGCTACCAGTCTCCCCTTGTGGTAGCTTCTACGCTAGTCAATTCCTACTGATTCCGCTAATTTTTATTTCTGAATGAATTATCTCGTGATTCTTTCCTTTATTCGCACATTCCAGATGCTAAGGTGCCTGATGTTGCTCCGTCTCAAGAAGGTGACTCTGCCGTCCGTCAACTGCTGGGAATCCGTGGCGGAAGCAAGGAAGACGTAAGGATTGCCGCGTAAAACTCTTATTGAATCTACACTGATTGCGTGTCTGATACTTTCGTAATCACTGGCTTATTTCGAAGTCGTGTTTTTTCTACAAATCCGTCAGCACTTCGCACTTATCACTTGTCACTTATCGCTTCGTTTGAGTTCTTAGCCGGATCCCTCATCTGCTTCTGCTTGAAATTTCAGAACATCTGGAAGATTCGCCTCCAGCTGACCAAGCCGGTCACATGGGTGCCGCTCATCTGGGGTGTGCTGTGCGGTGCTGCTGCCTCTGGTGCGTGAGTTTGATCATTAAAAAGGAAAATTCTGGTAACGCAGGAAATGCAGCCGCCGATCCGGTTTCTCTCCGGCTCACTCCGTTCTTATCCTCGTCAACCTCATTATTCAACCTTCATGAACCGGTCGGAAACAAAGATTTACTGACTGATGGCGTAATTATAAGTACCTGGACCTATTTCACACGCTTTGACCTTATATCCCTCACCTTTCATTTCAGGCAACTTCGAGTGGACCCTCAAGGATGTGTCTATGGCCGTAGTGTGCATGTTCCTCTCTGGACCGCTCCTCACTGGCTACACTCAGGTCCGTTCATGCTTCTTTTGTTTCACGCAGCAGAATCTCTTTCCGATTCCTAGGCTGTTCGACATGCCTGTCTCAATCCGTCCCTCTTATTGTTCCCTTCTCTCTTTTCTCCCCCTCAACCACCCCTCCAGACCATAAACGACTGGTACGATCGCGAGCTTGACGCTATCAACGAGCCCCAACCGGACTATCAGCGAAGCGACAAACGCGCCCCTTACCCCTCCCCCCCCCCCTCCCGTTCCCCTCCTCTTCTCCAGACCATAAACGACTGGTACGATCGCGAGATTGACGCCATCAACGAGCCCAACCGGCCCATCCCGTCGGGTGCTATCTCCGAGAGCGATGTGAGTCGCGGGCCTGAGATGGGATACTGGGTGGTTTGTTGCAAGAAAGAAGGATTGTCATGTTTGGATAGACGCTCGAATCTGAGAAAATATCTGTTGGCATGTTTTGAGATTGTAACGATTCGTGGCTGAAGAGAGAATTGTTCACAGGGATTGTTCCAAAGAATTCGAGGCGTATAAATTTGATGGCCAGTGGGCATACTTACCCTAGCAAACTCGTGCTTCATTGCACCCACGAGCCTGTCTTCTCATCTTCTCCCCTAATAAAGTTTGTCTCATTGCTCCGAATGCAGGTCATTGCGCAAATCTGGGTTCTGCTGCTGAGTGCCATGGTAGTGGCGTATGGCCTTGACGTTTGGGTGAGTCTCTTATGGAGTGGTTCTAGCCTAGATGCTCTCACAAAACGGGTCTGGGTGAATGTGCATGCACTAGTTTTTAGCTGACCCTAAAATCGTCCCAGTGAGCCTCTTTTGGATTGGATCTGGACTAGGCACTCTCACGGAACGGATCTGGTGATTGTACACGCATGACCTTGCTCGGAAGGAGAGTTTTAAAGCACCTCTATGTAACAGACTGTCTATTTGTTTCGAACATTCCATACGTGTGCACAGCCACTCCCCTCCCATTCTTGCATGCACATCTATCAGGCGGGTCACGACTTCCCCATCCTGCTTGCTTCTTTTCTAACTCTGACTCCACTCTCCCATTCCTCCTCTCACTCCATGCCCTTGTCCTCCCATTCTCCCATGCACATTCATCAGGCGGGTCACGACTTCCCCATCCTGCTCGCTCTCTCAGCTGGTGGCTCGCTCATTTCATACATCTACTCCGCGCCTCCTCTCAAGGTAAACCCCTTCGTTTCTCTTCTCGTCTCTCCCCTCGCTCCTGTCAGGGCGGTTAGGCCTCTTCCTTTGTGTCTTTCTCCTGGCTTTGGTGTTGGTCTTTGCTACAATGGTTAAGTTACCCTGCATGAGCAGAAGATCAGAAAAGGGTTTAAGAATAAGGACGGGATAAGTTATACGATCTCAAAAGCATTGCATTGCATCTCACCTCGTGGGCGTTTCCGCTTGCCACTGTCCACGCTCCCTCCCCTCGCAACCACTGCAGCTCAAGCAGAGCGGCTGGATTGGCAACTATGCCTTGGGCTCCAGCTACATATCGCTTCCCTGGTAAGTTTCCCATAACCTGTGGCGTGTATGATACACTCTCAGAATGCGCTCACTGGCAGCTCAAGCAGAGCAGCTGGATTGGCAACTATGCCTTGGGCTCCAGCTACATATCGCTTCCCTGGTGAGGTCCTTCCCTCCATACGCACCTGTGCTTTTTCTTTTATTTTCTTGGAAGTTTCACATAACATCTCAAGCAGAGCGGCTGGATTGGCAACTATGCCTTGGGCTCCAGCTACATATCGCTTCCCTGGTAAGTTTCCCATAACCTGTGGCGTGCATGATACACTCTCAGAATGCGCTCACTGGCAGCTCAAGCAGAGCAGCTGGATTGGCAGCTATGCCTTGGGCTCCAGCTACATATCGCTTTCCTGGTGAGTTCCCTTGCTGTGTTGCGATAATCTTCGGGAATCCTCAGAATACGCCTCCTGGCACCTCAAGCAGAGCGGCTGGATCATTAATTACGCCCTGGACTGCAGCTAGGTCTCGCTTCACAAAACATCGTGTAAGTTGATGGGATTCGCACTGCCTCTGTGCCACACTGCTTCTCAGTCACGATGCCTATTTATCACACTTCCTCACTGTCACACTTCCTCTCTGCCACGTGTTCCTATCCCTCCTGTGTGCCCTCCTGTGTGCCCTCCTGTGTGTGGAAACCTGGCAGGTGGGCGGGCCAAGCTCTCTTTGGCACGCTTACTCCTGATGTCGTGGTGCTCACTCTCCTTTACAGCATCGCCGGGGTAAGCTGTTAGAATTTTTTCTTCGTTAACGTGGTTTTAGATAAAGGCAAAGTAATGTACACTCTCTGATTCGACACGGTGGTGCTCACTCTCCTTTACAGTATCGCTGGGGTAAGCTGTTAGAAAATTGAGGCTGGTTTTGAGACGTTAGCAAACGAATTGCACTCAAAAACGATGCTGTAGTGGTGCTCACTCTCCTTAACAGCATCGTCAAGGTACGCTGTTAAGAATGGAGCCTTTTTTTTTTAAACGTCATTTGAGATACTCCCTCCCATTTCTTCCCTCCTCCCCACTATTTCCCCCTAACAGCTTGGCTTCGCTACTGTAGACAACTGTTGATTTGCCTTCTCCCCCTCATCTCCCCCTTCCTTCTCCTCCCCACTCGCCCCACTGTTTCTCCCTGGCAGTTGGGTATTGCCATTGTGAACGATTTCAAGAGCATTGAGGGCGACCGCAAGATGGGCCTGCAGGTGGGTGGTGGGGGCTGCATGCGCGAGGTGGGGGATTATGTGCGTGCCAGGGGCAGGTGCGCGGTGGGGGGCAGGTGGGTGGTGGTGGGGTTGCAGGTGGGTGGAAAGTAATAGGATTTGACGGGAGCAGATGTGTAGTTTGATGGTTTGAGGGAAACAAATGGTTCTTCTTGGCTCCCTTCCCCTGCGTTCCCCTCTTTTCCCCAACCTTTGTTTTCTTTCCATCGTTGCTCGCCCCTCATGTACCATTCTCCAGTCTCTCCCAGTGGCATTCAGCGTGGATACAGCGAAGTGGGTCTGTGGCGATGTAAACCTTCCATATAAACCCTTCCCCCTCCCCCTTCCCCTTCCCTTCCCCCCTCTCTCCTTTGGCCCCCGTCCCTCTCCCCCTTTCTTCCACTCCAGTCCCTCCCAGTGGCATTCGGTGTGGATACAGCCAAGTGGATATGCGTTGCCAGCATTGACGTTACTCAGCTATCTGTTGCAGGTGAGGGGCGGTTACATAAACTGCATGTAAAAAGAATGAACTCTTTGTGACGTAAAAGTGAGATAAATCCATTTTTTATCTCGAGCCGTATACATTTATTCGTGGCCAGTATTAACATTCCAGAAAACTGTTGTGGCAGGTGAGGTGTGGGGAGCACGCTGAAATGCCGTGACTTGTTAGTTGACCGAACTCTTGCTTCTCGCGCTCATTGCTCCCCACGTGTTTGAAGAAGTGTTTTGAGACGTCTCAAAACACTTCTTCAAACACTTCTTCAAACACTTCTTCAAACACTTCTTCAAACACTTCTTCAAACACTTCTTCAAACACTTCTTCAAACACTTCTTCAAACACTTCTTCAAACACTTCTTCAAACACTTCTTCAAACACTTCTTCAAACACTTCTTCAAACACTTCTTCAAACACTTCTTCAAACACTTCTTCAAACACTTCTTCAAACACTTCTTCAAACACTTCTTCAAACACTTCTTCAAACACTTCTTCAAACACTTCTTCAAACACTTCTTCAAACACGCTCTCATTGACCGAACTCTTGCTTCTCGCGCTCATTGCTCCCCACTGCTAGGCTCACTTCACTCCTCGACTTTTTCTCTCTCTGCCCCTCCCTTCTCCTCCTTTCCCCACATCGCCTTCCCCAACAGGCTACCTCCTCGCCACCAGCAACCCCGTCTATGGGCTTGTGCTTCTCAGCCTCGTTGTTCCCCCACACCTTGACTCACCCTTTCCTGTCATGTGCCATCTCTCTCCTCACCACTCCTTCTCCCTGCCCCATCTCCCGCACAGGCTATCTCCTCGCCGCAGGCAAGACCGTCTACGGGCTGGTGCTTCTCGGCCTCATTGCTCCCCAAATCTTCTTCCAGGTCGGTTCTCCTGCCGATCAGGCTCGCTGTTCTGAGATGATTGTTGAGGTGCCTAAAAAAGATTCTAGTCCTTCGTTCTTGAATCTGTGCCAAATTACTTATCGTTTTGTTTCTTCTTTCTGGTTAGGTTTCCCCTCAATTCTCAGAGGCGCTATTGACCTGCTCATGCATCTTTTCCGCTGTTCTTGTGATGCCATGTATCAATGTTGCGTCCGCACCTCACATCAATGTTGCGTCCGCTCAAAATCACGGCCTAACTCCTCTATATCCACAATTCTTCCACACCGCTTGTCATGTACCGTGTCTTGTTACATTGTTGCGATGCCGATGCGTTGTTACAATGTTGCATCTGCAGTTCACCCTCTTCCTGCCTGATCCCATGAAGAACGACGTCAAGTACCAGGTAAGAAGAGCCACGTTACTTCCTGCCTGGCTTGGAGTAGGGTAGCGGGGTAGCGCACACAACTGCTGCTCTTTGAGAATTATGACTGAACAGCACGTTTGCAGTTCACCCTCTTCCTGCCTGATTCCATGAAGAATGATGTCAAGTACCAGGTAAGAAGAGCCACGTTACTTCCTGCCTCGCTTGGAGAGTAGGTAGCGGGGTAGCGCACAGCCCTTCTTGGCATTTGCTCTTTTCTCGCTTCAACTACAAACCAGCAATCGCTTTGGGGGGTTAACGCTTCACATTTGCCTTCTCTGCACAGGGATTTCTCCTCTCCATTTCTCCCCTCTAACAAACTTGTGGTACACACACAACCCTTACAGGTGTTTGACCTTCACTTCAAAGCTCGTCTGCTCTCCGTTTCTCCTGAATTTTTTCCTTTCCCCCACCAACTGACAATATGCAGGCTAGCGCACAACCCTTCCTGGTGTTCGGCCTTCTTTGCACAGCTCTGGCTATTGGCAACCAATAGACAAGAGTCCTCCTGACCACCACCGCACTTTTGGGACGGCCCATAAAACTGCTCTGCACAGCTCTGGCTATTGGCAACCAATAGACTAAGTTCTGACGACCACTGCATCTTGACACCTTTTCTCTTCCTAAATTTGAAGCATTTTTCAATAAGCAACTATAGTGGCAACCAGGAGGCATTAGGGAACATTCCTGAAGCGCGTCACAAAGGCCTCGCGTCTCAAACGAAGAGATGCAGTGTGGTGGAAATTTTCAATTCGTAGGTGTAATGCGGTGCAGACCGGTACATTGGTTTTATGACGGGATTGAGACATTTGTGTCTAGACAGGAATATACCCTTATATCACGCATTATGACTCCTCCACACAAGTGGGAGATCACATAGATTGAGCATGCCCGTATTCTCCATAGATTGTGAACAGAATGGTACCTACTGGTATTACCTACTTCTACCCCTCTGCAATGTTCAATAGTTGATAGCAGTTCCGAATCAGGGCGTGTTCCTACGGCCCCTTATCAGGCCAACCTCTTATCAAGCTCGCTTCTGTCAAAACACACTGAAAATTCCCTAAACCCTCAGTGCAGCATGTGTTGGGTGGTGCTGTTGAATATTGAAAAGGCAAGCTGAGAAAAGGGATTGAAAACCGCAATAGGCCTAGGAGATTTGATGTTTCTTCTAAACCATGGGGCCATAACAGCTGTAATTGATTATTGGCCGCAACCCAGAAAATGGCATATACTACATGCCCCTACACGCTTCTATCCGAGGGGATACGGTTATACATATATCCACCAAACTCCCTGCCAGATAAACCCACCAGAGCATCCTCAACTTTGTTACAATTCATGATTGCTGCTCTTCGCAATCCCTTGCGTAAATAAAAGGTGCAGCGGATGATAATCCAAAAGAAAAACCCTGCAGTGACTAAACAAAGGACGGTATGTGTCACATGTGGGAAAGGCTTGAAGAAAGCAAGAGGCTGAGTAGGTTCTGAGGAAACGGACAGGACAGGAGGCTTGGGGGTAGACGAATTAGGCAAAGGAGGGTAGACATAAAGCTCAGCAGCCAGGCACTGAGTCACATTGATATTGAGGTTCAAATACTCGATATAATCCTCAAGTCCAGAAGTAGAGCGGCTGAGGTGGGTTGGTGGTTGTGAGAGCGGTGAAGATGGGTGTGGCTCGGTTAGGGGGTTGGGAAGAGAGCTTGGGGGGCATTGGGAGGGGTGCAGGTTGAAGGGGTCGCAGCAGATGGTGGTGGGAGGGAAGGCGTCGTTGGTGGGTGGCCCGATAAGGCACTGTGGATTGCAGGAGAGGGGAGAGCAGAGAGGGGGGAGGGGAGAGAAAATATAATGTGACGAAGGAAGGTATCATTGGTAGGTGGATTGCAGGGGAGGGTAGAAGGGACGGATGAATGGAAAGAACTTGAGAGGGGCACTGGGAGGGGTGCAGGTTGAAGGGATCTCAGCAGATGATGGTGGGGGGGAAGGCGTCGCTGGTGGGTGGGCCGTAGAGGCACTGTGGATTGCAGGGGAGGGAGAAAGAGGGATGGAGAGGAGGAGAAATGGGAGAGAGATATTATGTGAGTGGGGAAGGCGTCGTCTGTTGGTGGGCCGTAGTGGCACTGTGGATTGCAGGGGAGAGGAAAGGAAGGGAAGGGAGGAGGAATAGGAGAGAGGTGAATGAGACAGGAGTGGATGAATGAGGGGGCAGAATGAGGGGAAGGGACTTGAGGGGCAGTGGGAGGGTTTGTGGCTGAAGGGATCACGACAAATGGTAATGGGAGGGAAGGTATCATTGGTAGGTGGGTCATAGAGGGAGGGGAGAGAGGGAGAAAGGGAGGGAGGGAGAAAGGGAGGGAGGGAGAAAGGGAGGGAGGGAGAAAGGGAGGGAGGGAGAAAGGGAGGGAGGGAGAAAGGGAGGGAGGGAGAAAGGGAGGGAGGGAGAAAGGGAGGGAGGGAGAAAGGGAGGGAGGGAGAAAGGGAGGGAGGGAGAAAGGGAGGGAGGGAGAACGAGGTGAGAGAGTTGAACGAGTGAGAAGTTGATGAATGAGAGTAGAACGAGGGGATGGAAGTGGGGGGTGAGTGGGGAATCGAAAACAACGGCTGTTAAAGGACCCCTGACGAACGGATGACAGCTGTGTGAAAGAAAGGATGCCGTGAATCATGTGGTTTTAGGAAATAAGAACGAAAGGTGGTCACAGGGCAACGCACCCCTCCCAAAAAAGAGATGACAGTCGTGAAGGATGGAATACCAAAAAGGCTTCTGCCGATGGCTGTGAGAACCTGGGTGGTGAACGAATGTGCATCCATGGTGGTGGCGATGCGACCAACTGAGGATTGGAAGTCGAGGAGAGGCGGAGAGGAGGGAGAGGGAGGAAAGGCAGAGGTTAGCTCTTTCTGCCTATCGCTGTGAGAAGATGGGTGGTGAAAGAATATGCATCCATGGTGATTGTGATGCGGTTAACTGATGGGTGGAATGGAAACAGGGGAGAGGCGGGAGAAGGAGGGAGAGGGAGGAAAGGCAGATGCTAGCTCTTTCTGGCTATCGCTTGAGAACCTCGGTGGTGCATCCATGGTGGTGGCGATGCGACCAACTGAGGAGTGTAAGTAGGGGGGAGGCAGGAAAGGCAGGAAACGCTGGTACTCACAAGGCAGGCAGTCACAAGAATGCACTCACAAGCAACCAATCACAAGGCCGCCACTCACATATCGTTCCCGCACATTCCTCCTTGAGCCTCTCTGCTAGCCCGTCACAGATGGTGATTGTGGGACCAGCTCCCACCACAAATTCCGTGTCTGCGCGTGAGAAGGGCCACAAGGATGTGACAGACAGGCAGGGTGTGGGACAGACAGAAGGAGCAAAATAAGGGTGTTGCTGCTCCGATACGCCTGTGTCTCTGAGTGACACGAGAGTCGACTCAAAACATCTGCTTCGATACGTGTCTCTGAGTGACACGAGAGTCGACTCAAAACATCTGCTTCGATACGTGTCTCTGAGTGACAAGATGCCTTGAGCCTGTCTGCGAGCCCGTCACAGATGGTGATAGTGGGACCAGCTCCCACCACGAATTCCGTGTCTGCGCGTGAGAAAAGCAGAAGTGACAAAGCGAGAAACGAAAAAACCAGGAAAGGACAGAAGCAGAGAAGGCAACACTATGAGTGACAAAAGCAGGTGAAAAGGGAGGGAGAGAGTTGGAGGAAAGGTAAGAGAGATAGAAGAAAAAGGGACAGGAGAGAGAGGAAGGAGAGGAAAGAGAGGAGGGAGAAAAAAGAGAGGAGGAAAGGTGGACGCACCTGCGTCACAGACGGCAGTGCACATGACCATTTCGAGCAGATGTGCGCATAGAGGATAGCCCTGCAGGGCTTCACACGCCTGGTGGGAAGGGAGGAGGGAGAGAGGAGCGAGGAGCGAGGGAGAGAGGGAGAGACAAGGAGTGGAAGGCGGATGTGCGCATAGAGGATATCCCTGCACAGCCTCACATGCCTGGCAGGCGGGAGGGAGAGAGGCAGAGAGGAAGAGAGGCAGAGAGGCAGAGAGGAAGAGAGGCAGAGAGGCAGTTAGGAGGAGCATGAGAGGCGGATGTTTGCAGAGGGGATACTCTGCAAAGGGCCGAAGGGCCCACTGCCAGGCATGTGGGCCACGTGGAACGAGAAAGTTGTAGCGACGTCTCAAAAGCTTGCTTCTCTCACGTGAGCGGATACAAGGCTTTCCGACCCTTCCTGCAGGACTCCACATGCCAAGCGGGCAAGAAGGTTTGAAGAGTCCCCTGCACCGCCCGCACACCCACAGTGGGTGGGGTGGGTTGGACGGGTCAAAGAGCCCAGCGGCAGCAACGGTAGCATTTTGAGTTGAGACGTCTCAAAAGACTTTTGAGACGTCTCAAAAGTTGGACGGGTCAAAGAGCCCAGCGGCAGCAGCGAAAGCATTGCTGCCCAGGCTTGTATCGCGAGAGAGACGTTGGTTCGGATGTATCGCAGCGCAAGCTCCTCTCCCCCGCACAGTCCCCCCCGCCCACCCACAACAACCCCAGCCCCGCAAAGCCACGGGATTAGGGTTGCTCAACTCACAGAGAGCGGGTTGGAAAGGTCGATGAGTTTCGCAGCAGCAGCGGTAGCGTTGGTTCCCAGGGCTTGTATCGCGAGAGAGACGTTGGATCGAATGTATCTCAGCGCAAGCTCCTCCCCCCCGCACAGCTCCCCCAGCTCACCCGCAAATCGAGGCACACTTACAGTAGGAGGGTTGGAAAGGTCGATGAGTTTCGCAGCAGCGGCGGTAGCGTTGGCGCCGAGGGTTTCAATCGCGAGAGAGACGTTGGATCGAATGTATCTCAGCGCAAGCTCCTCCCCCCCGCACAGCCCGCAGCACGTCTCGTTGTCCTCCGTCGCGCACCGGCGCTGCCACACTGCCGCCCCGTTACTAGCAGCCCCGATACTAGCCGCTTCGATACTAGCAGCTTTGATATAAGCCCGCTTGATGTTCTCAGGGCGCATGCCAGTAATCGGGCAGTCAGGGTATTCTACTACCGGGTAGCCGTCTGGTTGTGCTGACGCCGCGACGAGCAACAGGAGTAAAGAAACGGCCGTTAGAATGGCTGATGACCGCCGAAGCGCGTCCCGGATAGTGGATAAGAGGGCCATTTGCGTGGCTGATGGGAATGCAGCGACGGCTGACGTGACGGCTGACGTCAGTGACGGGATCGCTGAAGGGAGGGCTGACGTGGCGAAGCTATGCATTCGAGCCATCAGTAGGGTCGCGTCGCGTCGCGGACTCGGAGACTGACAGCCTTGGTCGGAATGCGCGTTAGGAGGATGCGTGCTTGACCTAGAAGACTCGCCAGCACACGAATTGCTAGTATCTGAGAGCGGCGGTACTTATGTCGATCAAAATCAAGGGGGACCTGTGAATGCTCTGAGCAAAATAAAGGTGATCTGCTGGGCATTCCGGAAGTTTTACTGCTCCCGCCGAGTACGGCGCGGCTTGGGAGGTACTGTACTGTAAGCTTATGTCGGCGGAGCACGCTTTTATTGACTTTGGCTGACTTGTGTTGGCGTAGCCGATCTATTCTTGCGTTGACTGTGAGCTTATATCGGGTTCGGCAGGTCAACTCTTTGTGCCACATAGAAGCTGGTAACACGTCACAACATTAACGAATGTAAAATTAGCGTAAATTATCAAGCCCTTATGTAGATTCACACTTAAAAATAAAAATATGTAGGAAGAAATAAAAACGTTTTTCTCTTATAATTCACGGGTATTGTAACAGAACACCCATTTGCAAGGATTAAACTAAATTAGTCTAATACTAAGGTAGCAGCTGCGTGGTTAGGAGTCTCGTTCCTCGCGTTGGATTCTCAGTTGCTCTTGCCAGTAACTGTGCGCCTGCACCACTCGATCCAACAGCTCCTGTGGCACCGGCTCCCCTCTGCGCTGATGTGGCGCGATCTGAGCCGTGTGCACAAGAGTCTTCCACTTGTCCTGGCGAACGCAGGGGGGGTTGTGAAGCAAGTCGGATAAGAAATAAGAAAAGGCCACATAAAGAAATGATATAAGCAAAATAGCACAAAGGGTACAAAAGCACATGCGCAAAACAAGTGTGTAGGGCAATCAGTGATCGTTGAGGTTGATGTGCCTAGTAGTGAGCAAGAGGAAATCATCACAGTATGAGGGATGTTTGTTCTTAGTGAGAGAAAAACTAACCTTGAGATCCACATAGGTGCGATGCTTTGATGTGGCAAATGCCCTCAGCTTCACATCCCTCCACCTGCAGTGCATCACCGGGGTAGTGGGGTCCAAACAGGAAAAAATGTCACTCATACAAATTTCCACCTGTTGTGCTAAGGACTCTTCCCCTCACACCCCTTCCCACCCCTCCCCCCCCCTACCCACCTGCCAGTTCTCAGCACTTCTACAGCGTCCACCAGCGATGCCACCTCGGTCACTGTAAACAGCCGGCGAATTCTCCTCCTCTGCTCTATCAGCTGCAGCCGCCAGGTGTAACCCAAGTCAACCCAAACAGACAGCAGCTCCCCCCCACCCACACCCACCCACCCTTCCCCCAACCACCCACCTGCCAGTGCCCAGAACTTCAACAGCGTCCACCAGCGAGGCCACCTCCCCCACAGTGAACGGCCTTCTGATCCTCCTCCTCTGCTCTATCAGCTGTAGCCCCGCCCCTCCCCTCGCCCTCGGATGCACCATCATCGCCCCCCCCGCCGCCCCCACCCCCCCCCTCTGCAGGTGCTGCTGATGCGGATGCAACACCAGCGCCCCACTCTCTCCTCCTCCTCTTCCTGGGTATGACAATGGCCCTCCTACTCCTCCCCCTCGGCCTCTCCCTCTGCCTCTCCCTGAGACGGATGGGTGGAGAATCAGAGTGCTTGAATGCGCTCCTTTAGTAGCATACCCGCTACTAGAATACCGCCCAAACGGCAGGTGAAACCCCTCGTCGTCTTCATACTCCTCATCCTCCTCCTCCTCCTCCTCCTCCTCCTCCCCCTCCTCCCCCTGTTGGTAATCCTCATCGTCATTCCTCCGCCTCCTCCTGCTTCTCCCTCCCCCCGCCCCGTCCCCAGGCTCTTGCTCTGTCTGCGCTCGAATCGCAGCCAAGGCTTGCGCTGCTGCTTGTCTGGTGGTAGGCGTGGTGGTAGTAGCAGTAGATGGGGCAGATGCGGGAGTGTGAGGGCCAGAGGAGGTAGCGTAAAGGTGTGAAGGGGAGAGGTAGGATGGGTGGAGGGGAGTGGCGGGGTTTGAGTGTCTGCGGGAGCTGCCTGGTGTTGCTGCTGCAGCTGCTGCTGCAGCTGCAGCGGCGGCTGCTGCGGCGGCCGCAGCAGCGGCTGCGATGCTTGATCGGGTGTTGTGGGAAGGGTGCGAGTGGGATGGACTGGAGGGGCGGGGAAAGCGGAATGGGAGTTGAAGGGAGGGGAAGAAGTGAAGGAGGAAGTAAGAAAACAAAAGAAACCACCAGCTAGCAGTAGCGGCTGCGATGCTTGATCGGGTGTTGTGGGAAGGGTGCGAGTGGGATGGGCTGGTGGGGAACGCGACACATGAGGGATGGGAGGGGAGAGGCAAGAGAAAGCGGAGGGCAGGGGAGACACAAATGAGAGGGGAGAGGAGGGGAGGGGAGGGGAGGGGAGGGGAAGAAATGAAGGGGGAAGAACGAAGCAATACACAAGGATAGCTATCAAACACGGCAGCGGCAGCAGAAACTTCAATGCTTGACTGAGTGTTGTGGGAGGGGTGGGCATGGGGTGGACTGCATGGCAGCAAACTCACAAACCCCAGGATGTGCCAGAGGCGACAGCAGCAGCAGCTGGGAGATGGCGGCGTGGCAGGTAGCAGTGAGGAGAAAGCAAGGAGAGCAAGCAAAGGGAAAGCAGCAAACTCACGAAGCAGCAGACGCGAGTGGACCGTCTGCCGCCACCGCTGCCGCCGCCGCAGCAGCAGCAAGAGAGGTGTCCCCAGGATGAGCCAGGGGCGACAGAAGCAGCAGCGAGATGGAGAAAGCAAGGAGAGCAAGCAAAGCGAAAGCAGCAGACTCACGAGACAAGTGGACCATCAGCCGCTGCCGCTGTTGCCGCCGCCGCAGCAGCAAGGGAAGGATCCCCAGGATGAGCCAGGGGCGACAGCAGCAGTAGCGGATCCGGGTCAGCCGCAGCAGCCGCCGCCGCCGCTGCAGCTGCCGCCTGTTTCGCAGCGGCTGTAGCAGCAGCTGTAGCAGCGGCTGTAGCGCCGGCAGGAGGAGGAGTAGGCGGGGGTGGGGGGAGGAGCACGGGGTCTGGGTCGAGCATGAAGCTGAGGGAGGCGGCGGCCGCGTGCTTCTGCTGCTGCTGCTGGTGGAGGGCCGCATGGGAGAGTCCCACGTCGGCCAGCGACGCCTGGTCGTGCGTGCAGCGGTTACCCTGTAACACCATGCGCAGGCGCAGGCCGTTGCCGAAGGAGGCTAGCGCTGCTTCGACCACCGCTTGCTGGGATGGGGAAAGGGAGGTGAGAGGGAGGGAGAAGAGAGGTAGGGGGGTATGGAGGAAGCAAGGTTCATAGTGCGTGCAGTGGTTACCCTGTAACACCATGCGCAAGTTGAGTAACATGTTCGAGATGCAAAAGAGTCAACTAGAACAACACATACATAAATATTTCGTGAACTTTAACGAGCCAAGAGCATGAATACGCACCTTGAGCGCACCAACAGAAGCAGTTTCAGGCAGACACACTGAGAGCTCTGGCATTGACAGACTCTTTATGGAGAAGCGGACTGAGAGAGGGGAAAAGCGAAAAGGGGGGAAGATAGAATAGGAACATCAATGAGGGAGAATGAGGCCAAGGAAATCGCCACCCTTTCAGCTGCACCAATTTAGAGACGACTTCCCAAAAGTGATAAACACACGCCTGCAGCACCAGCAATCACCCCTAAGAATTCTCGAAAGTGATTCCCAAAAAGGCCAGGGAAATCGTCATTCTTTCAGCCGCACTATTTTTGAGACACTCCAGAAGTGATACATGCATCGCCGGTAGGACTGGCACGGATACCCCTTTAAAATGGCCCCCTCTGTGCCCCCTCCACTGCCCCTTCACACTCACTACGTGGTTGCTCATGTAGTCTCCCTCCGGTGGAATGCCTGCAGCACAGGTGCAGAAGCAGGGGCCGCGGCACCACCTTTCCCTGCTCCACCCACCTCCCTTGGCCTCCCAGTCTCCCTTTCCTGCCCTGCTCCGGGCCCTCCCATCCCATCCCATCCCACACCCCACCCTTTCCCACCAATACACTCACTCAGGGGTTGCTCCTGTCGTCTCCGGTGGTATGCCTGCAGCACAGGCGCAGAAGCAGAGGCCGGGGCACCACCTTTCTCTGCTCCCCCTGCCCCCTTACCCCCCCTGCCTCCTTGCCACCCTAGTGGTGCACCATAATACTCACTCAGGGGTTGCTCCTGGCGTCTCCGGTGGTATGCCTGCAGCACAAGCGGGGCCGGAGCACCACCCTCCCCTGCTCCCCGTGCCCCCCCAACCCCTCCAGTCTGATCCCCCCTGCCTGCTGTGCCCCAGGGACTCCCATCCCATCCCCCTCCCACCCCATCCGTATTCACTGCCTCCCATACTCACTCAGGGGTTGCTCCTGTCGCCTCCGGTGGTATGCCTGCAGCACAGGTGGGGCCGGGGCACCACCCTCCCCTGCTCCCCCTGCCCCCCCTGCCTCCCCTGCTCCCCCTGCTCCCGCACCCTCCGCTGCATCTGCTGCTCCAGATCCCTCGCCTGGCCCCGAGGCAGGGCCGTTGAGAGGTGAAGCCTCCAGTGGTGCTTCGGGCACAGAGGCTGTGAAGGGTGGGAGGGAAGGGATGGCCACGTGTAGTGAGGGTGTTTTTGAGACGTCTCAAAAGCACAGAGGCTGTGAAGGGTGGGAGGGAAGGGGTAAGGGAATTGGATAAGGGAGGGACGGACAAAGATGGGGCTGGCCCGTTGAGAGGCGAAGCCTCCAGTGGTGCTTTGGGTATGGAGCCTGTGGACGGAGGGAGTGGGGGAGACGAAATTGAAGGAGGGAGACAGACAGCGGAAACGAGATGAAGGCAACTGAGAAACGAAAAGCGATATCGAAATCGAAAACCGGGGTCGGGAATCGAAGGAGGGACAGAGAAACTGAGATGCAGCGCGATGCAGTGCGGTGACATGCCACACAGATGTACACCCTCCCGTTTCACCTCCACCAGTTGTACTCTCCCCAATTGTACCTCCCTCGGTAATCCGCTAGCCATATCCCAACAATCTCCCTGTCGATTCACATCACCCAGTCATATCCTTCCTGCCATACCGTCCCAGCCATACCTCCCTCAGCTGTACCTCCCCCAACCATACCTCCCCAAGCTGTACCTCCCCCAGCCATAACTCCCTCAATCATACCTCGTCTTCCTCTTCCCAGCACACCCTCTTTGCTGTCTGTTGCAGCAGCAGGAGAAGCAACCGGAGAAAGGGCACCAGGCGCACCAGGTGCAGCACCAGCAGCAGCAGCAGCAGCAGTGGTGGCGGCAGGAGAGGAAACCGGTGACGCTGCTTGCTGTTGCTGGCGAGGGGTGGAGTGGTGGGGGGAGAGCGGGGCGGAGTGACCGTCCAGGGCCATGAGGGGCAGGCGGGAGGCGGGGCGCGTGGTGCGATGGCGCGTGCGGCGAGTGACGCCCTGAAGGGCTGGGGTATGATTGCGGGTGGAAAGGGAGGATCAGGGGGGCAGAGCAGGGGAAAGAAGGACGGAAATGAAGAGGATTTGGAGGAAAACGGCAGAAAGAGGGGAGAAGATGGTTGGGAGCGAGGGGCGGAGTGCCCGTCCAAGGCCATGAGCGGCAGGCAGGAGGCGGGGCGTGTGGTGCGATGGCGCGTCCAGGGGGTGACGGCCTGAAGAGCTGGAAACGAAAGGGGGATGGGGAAGGGTGGGGGGAAAAATTGGGAAAGGTGGGGAAGGGCAGGGAAAGGTGGGAAAAGGTGGACAAGGGTGGGAAAGGGTGGAGAAAGGTGGGGAAGGGAAGTGAAAGGTGGGGAAGGGTGGGAAAGTGGAAGATACTGAGGCACCGAACTGGTGGGCGGGTGGTGCAATGTAGCGTGTGCTGGATGATGCCCTGGGGAGCTGCATAGGACGAAGGGACGGGTAGGTGAGGGGCGGGTGCAGCAGAGATTCAGATGGGAAAAAGAGCAGGGGAGAAGAGGGAGGTAATGAATTGGAGGTGGGAGCTTACAGGCAGGGCGAAGCAGGCTTACAGGCAGGCAAGGCAGGGTCAAAAGGCTCGTGTACAGGAGACGGGACACCATCCCCTTCAGTCCTCTCCCCCTGCTGCTGCTTCCGCTTGCGCGTTCCCATCCCCCCTGCCTGCTGCTGCTGCTGCTCCAAGGGTTGCTGTTGCTGGTTCTGCTGCAGCTCCTTCTCAGAATCCGCCCCTTTCTTTGCCGTCCGTCCTTCAGGAGAAGGAGCGGCTGCTGCTCCGAGTGCTCTTCCCTCCCCCACCTCACCACTGGCGGTGGCAACACTGGCACCACCTACAACAGCAGAACCAGCAACAACAGCACTGGCAGCAGCAGCAGCACCAGCAGCAGCAGAAGTAGTGGCAGCAGAGACAGGAGCAGGAAGACCAGCAGCAGCAGCAGCGATAGCGGCAGAAGGGGTGGAGGGGCAGAGAGAGGGCAGGAGGCCGAGAATAGTTGAAGCAACCATGTCGTCATCTCGTGACCCAGTTGACCCTACACCAGCTGACCCCACACCTGCTGATCCCGCTACACCTGATCCAGCTACATCCGCACCACTTTCACCACCACCACCTGGAACCACTGGAAGTGCCGCCCCACCGGACTCCACACCTGCAACACCTCCCATTACCACACCTGATATTCCACCTGAGATTCCACCTGTAGCAGCATCAGGCAGGTGCTCAGGCACCAACACGCCTGCAACCCCAGGAGCAACTCCGGCAGTAGCAACACCCTGCCCCTCTCCCCCCACCCCATCCCCCATCACCCCCGCTTCACCTCCTGCCCCCAACACCCCCCCAACTCCCCCATCCGGGCCTTCCCCCGCTCCCCCAAGCACCATGTATTCCACAGGGCCGCCCTCCCCCACGCCCATCTGCTTCTTAAGCTGCTCCTCCTCCTCCTCGTCTACTTCTAGCACGTCTATCTCCTCTTCTTCGTTCGCTGCCTGTACCAGCACCACGTTCTGCATTGCCAGCAGACGCATGTCCATCATCTCATGCTGCTGCTGCTGCTCTGCTGCTTCTGCTGCTGCTTCCATCGCCTCATGCTGCTGCTGCTGTTCTGCTGCGCCTGCTGTTGCATCTGCTGCTGCTGCTGGAACCTCTGTTTCTATCCCCTCATGCGGCTGCTGCTGCAGCTGCTGCTGCTGCTCTGCTGGCTCTGCTGCCACGGCTGGCACTGCCACATTCTCCTCAGCACGCCCTCCCTCCCCATGCGCGGGCAGCACAGCGTTCTGCAGCGCCAGCAGGCGAAGGTCCATCAGCTGCTGCTCCGCTGCCAGGGGCGGCTGGGCTTCCTTTCCCTGCTGCTCTGCTGCCACTGGGGAAAGAACTGGTGGAGCAGGGGCCTTCTCCTGCTGCTGCTCTGCTGCCACAGGGGGGAGAACCGTTGGGGAAGGGGCAGCTGAGCCGTCCGTTGTCTTGTTGCCTGTTGCATCAGCTTCTGTAGTGGCAGCTGCTGCAGCAGCAGTTTCTGTTGCAGCAGCGTCTGTAGCAGCAGCGTCTGTAGCAGCAGTTCCTGTAGCAGCAGCGTCTGTAGCAGCAGTTCCTGTAGCAGCAGCGTCTGTAGCGACAGCTGCTGTAGCAGCAGTTTCCATAGCAGTAAGATCTGTTGTTCCAAGGCCAGTGGCACTCGCAGTTGCAGGAGTATCATCTGAACCAGTAGCAACTGAGGTAGCATCAACACCTGTTGCATTAGTACCTGTAGCGTTAGCATCTGTAGGGTTAGCATCTGTGGCATTTGCACCTGTTGCATTAGCATCTCCTGCATTAGTATCTGTTGCATTAACATCACCATCGGTATCATTAGCACTTGTGGCATTAGTAACTGTAGCAGCAGCACCCGCAGCTGTGCCAGCAGCTACAACAGAATCCGCGTTAGTGGTTACGTGTACCGGCTCTGCAAAAACCTGCTGCTGGTCCTTTAGACCTTCTTCAATTCTCCGCCCTTCCCTCTCCTCTTCCCCCTTTCTCCCCTCCTTCTCCTCCTCCTCCATCTTCCCTCCCGTGTGCTCCTGCTTCTCCATCCTCCCATCCCCCTGGACCGGCATTTCCACCTGCCCTCCTGCTCCTTCCCCCTCCAGCTCTTTCTCCCTTTCGCCCTTCACCCCTCTCTCCTTTCCATCCTCGACTGATCCATTCGCCATAGTTACATCAGCGGTGTCCCCTGGACCCTCGTTACACGCCTCCTTGGCAGCGTCACTGCAAACCTCACCCTTTCCTTCGCCCTTCTCCTCATCTTTCCCCTCACCCTTCTCAACTTTCATGTCCCCATCCCCTTTCCTTCCCCCCTCTCCCTCCATCTCCTCATTGCCTCCCTTCTTCTCACCACCCTTCCCTTCCTCCTCCCCATCCCCACATCCCTCTCCCCGCGCACCCGCTTCTCTCGCCCCTTTCCCTCCCCTAACACCTTCTTGCCTCCCGTTTTCGTCTCTAGTAGAGTTCTTGCCCTCCCCTACCCCCTCTGACTCCAAACCCTGTTCCCTCCCTATACCCTCTACGCTGGACACCGATGCTTCAGTCATCCCCCCTTCAGACACTCCTGCTTCAGTCATTCCTCCTTCAGTCACCTTCGTTTCAGTATCCACCTCCATTGCAGCCGCATTATCACCCCCTCGCTTCGCCGCTTCAACCTCCGACTTCATTGACCCATCCTCTTGCAAGTTGGAGCCTCCCCCAGGTAAGACCTTCCCTTCCGAGCCTTCCGTCCCGTCTTCTCCAACCTCCTTCTCTCCTTCCCCCGTTTCCTTTCGTTCCCCTTGCCCCTCCGCTTCAACCTTACTTCCCTTAGCTATATCTTCCCTCGTTCGAGTACCCTCGTCATTGTCACCCTGCTTGCCACACTCCTCAGCAGCACCGTCCCCGTTCGCTTTAATCGCATCCTCCAGCGGCTTCTGCTCGGACTCCATTAATTTCTGCTATTAACGGGGCCTCGGTTTGAGATTTTCCCTCCACAGAATTCTTCTCCCTCAATCGTCCCTTCAATAAACGCGCGAAAAAAAAAACAAAAAACAAAAAAAAAAATCTTCCGCGCCTTGATTAACTGTCTTCACAGAATCCAGTGCCTTGACCGCACGGCCTATCTTTCTCTCCGCTTCTGCAGACCCGAGGTCACCCCTTTTACCTCTCTTGCGTTGGCACGTTCCTGGAAGTCCGTCGCGCTTCCTTTTCGTGTTTTCACACTCTATTGCAGGTACTAAGACAGCCACGCGCTCGAACTATGGACTGACGTAATTAAAATCCTGGGAGGAAGCAAACGCTGCACCATGAACCTCGGTAAACGCTTGCTTTTTTTTTTCCCTCTCCGTTCAGAGGGTTAATCACTATTTGCAATAAATGCAGGTAAGCTCGTCCGACAAACACGAGGTCTAACGTCTCAACGCGCTTAACTTCGTCAAGCATCAAAACCGTAAAAAACTGCCTTCTATTGACGACAATTTTGCCAATTTCGTCAATGTTAAAGCGAAGGCAGCACTCCCGCAACTTGCGGGACTGCTAAAACGCCAATGCCTGAGCACAATGTCTAACATCAGCTGTAGGCGACGAAACCCTGAGATCCAAACCCCAAATGCCAGTGACAAACCCTACCTAACAAACCCCAGATCCACAACCCTCGTACCCAGGTATAACCGACAGCGAAAAGGTAAGATGCCGAGGTGTTACACTATATGCTTTTATGCAGTATGTAGATGTTCTGAATTACTTTATCTAATCTGACATGTAGCCACTATTCATCATAATGAGAACCCACTGTGTAGCATGGACAACTAGGCCAGCTCTAAGTCTTTTCTCAGAATTATTAAATCGCATAACCAGATTCCAATAGTCTTGGTACTGTATTGTTAGACAATTATGCAATCATGATTCTATATAGATTTCATGTTATTCGTAGAGGATTGATTTCTTATTATAAGTTCTCACCGGAACAATAGATTCTGCAACAGCGGGGAATTCCACTATATCTCGTTGCCATTCATGTGCTTTCTAGGGTGCATCAGACACGCTCGTTCAATTTCTCCCTTCCAGTCCAGTTATCAGGCGTCACTCCATGGCTGGTGATGACGAGAAAGCCGTAACGAATGCAGGAGATGGTGATGTTGACATGGCCGAACAACCGGATTCGGCAGAATCAGATTCAGAGTTAGACGAAGGTGGTAACGGAAAGAGTGCGGCCAATGACCCAAAAGATAAAGATTCGGACGGAGACAGCGATGAAGTTGATAGCGAGGATGACGATAGCGAGGATGAGAAAGAGGCAGCGGAGGAGGCGGAGCGAAAGGCTTTGATTGACCAAGTCAAAGCGCGCATCGCATCGAATCCATACGACTATCAGGCGCACGTTCAGGTACGTTCTCGGTTTTAACCAATCCAGAAATTTCCCTCGCTTTAGTCACATTAAGGCGCGTCTATCGTAAGAGGGGGGTGGAAAGGGGAGAATGGAAGAAAAGGAAAGGGGACAAGAAGGGGGTTGGAGTGAGGCACTTAACTCTCGCATCGTTCATCCAAATTAACACTCGAGAAGCAGATCTGACGGCCAGCCATGCCGTGGGGTTTAGCGAGGCGGTGACCTAAATCGGCGACCATTTGTCAGTGGCCAGCCATTTCGTTCCATCAGCACTCTCAACTCTTGGCTGCTGTAGTCCAATTTTTAGGCGCCTCAAAAACCGTTTGGCGTGGCGGTGAGCTAGTCTGGCAGCATTCGTCAGTAGCCAACCATTTCGTTTCGTTCCATTAGAACGCTCAACTCTCGGCTGCTCCCCCTTTTTCGTGCACCCTCCCTGGTCAGCTGATATCTCTACCGCGGCAGAGCAGCATGCTGGAGGAGTTGAGGAGCGCACGAGAGGGGATGAATGCGCTCTTCCCGCTCTCACCCGCCATGTGGCAGCAGTGGGTTTTGAGGCGCCTCAACAGACACGTCTCCCCCCTCCTCCCTTTCTCCTCCCCCACCTCTATTCACCCCCTTACCCCCTGTTCAGCTGATATCTCTTCTGCGCCGCAGCAGCATGCTGGAGGAGTTGAGGAGCGCACGAGAGGCGATGAACGCGCTCTTCCCGCTCTCACCCGCCATGTGGCAGCAGTGGGCTCACGACGAGACACGTCAACCCCCTTCCGTCCTCTCTCTCCTCCCCCCATCCCCTGTCGTTTTGCGCCCTTCTTTCAGCTGATATCTCTTCTGCGGCGCAGCAGCATGCTGGAGGAGCTGCGGGCAGCGAGGGAGGCGATGAACGCGCTCTTCCCACTCTCGCCCGCCATGTGGCAGCAGTGGGCTCACGACGAGACGCGCCTCATTGCCTCGTGAGTGTGCCCCTTCAGCCTTTAGTCAGCTGCTGCCTGCTCCCTGCTGCCTGCTGCCTGTGCCCCCTCAGCCTGCTTCCTGCTGCACAGTGCACTGTGATCAGGCTTTTGAGCGCGCTGGTCGCGCTATTCTCACACCGGCCACCTAGTATTCAGCACACTGAACATTCCAACAAATCCTTTTTTGAATCACCCAGTTGTATGTACGGGACCCGCGCCCGTCTACCTTTCTGCCTGGCTCTGTTCCACATCTCATTCCCAGTCTCATCGTTCCAGTTTGTGCTTTTCGTTTTGATCCTATCCGTTTCTCAAATGGTGTGCTGAAATCCGCAGAGATGCTGACGTGGCCAAGGTGGAAGCTCTGTACAAGCGTGGCGTGGAGGAGTATGTGGTGAGTCTCTCTCCTCCCTTTCACCTCCAGCCCCCTTCTCTTTCCTCCTCCTCCTCCTCTCCCCCGTCATCCTCGCCCATGCCCTCATTTCCCTTTCCCCCTCCGTCCCTCACTCAATCACTGCCTCGATCACTCTTCTCACCTTCATCCCTCCAATCCCGTTCCGCAATTCTCTCCCAGTGTCCCATCTACCAGGCAGGCCGGCCGTCCCTATTGCTTCCACATCCACTCCTCCCCTGCCTTGCCTTCCCCTCTTTCCCCTCTGTAACTCCCCAGTCACCTCCTCTCTGGCAGGCCTATCTCGCCTTCCTCGGACCCCACCACCCCGCCATCACCACAAACACCCCCTGCGGCCTGCAGCTCTTTATCACCCCTCTCCACCCCTCTCCGTCCCCAGTCACCTTCCCTCTGGCAGGGATACCTCGCTTTCCTAGCAGCCGACCTTCTCGCCATCACCACACACACCCCCGACGGCCTCAAGCTTTTCCGAGCTGCGGCTGAGCACATGACAAGTCTCACTCACTCCCAACTCCTCTTTGCCCCTTCTTTTTTACCCCCCACCCCTTCCCACCCGTCTCAACCTCTTTTCACCCTCTGGACTCCCAGTCCGCGTCTCTCTGGCAGGCCTATCTGGCCTTCCTCACAGCCCACCACCCCGCCATCACCACACACACCCCCGATGGTCTCAAGCTTTTCCGGGCCACAGCAGAGCAAGCTCTCTCCCAGGTCGGGCTGCACCTGGGGGAGGGCGCATCTGCCCATGGACCTCCAACTCTTAACTTCAGTTTATCAACTCTTCTTTCTCCTGTCCTGCCCCCCTTTCTCCCCTCCCCTCCCCTCCAGTCCCCCTCTCTCTGGCATGGATACCTTGCCTTCCTCACAGCCCACCACCCCGCCATCACCACACACACCCCCGATGGTCTCAAGCTTTTCCGCACCACAGCAGAGCAAGCCCTCTCCCAGGTCGGGCTGCACCTGGGGGAGGGCGCATCTGTCTGGGGGACGTACAGGGGATTCGAGATGGAGGTTCTGCGGGGAGTGAAGGGAGAGGAGGAGGAGGAAAAGACGAAGCAGGCCGGCCGGGTGCGAGCGCTGTTCCATCGCCAGCTGGTGGTGCCTCATTTGCAGCTGCCTGCCACGCTGGCAGCGTACCTGGCCTGGGAGGAGGCGGAAGGCGGCGAGAAGCTTCCTGCACCCTCCTCCTCTTCCGCCCCGGACGTCGAGAAGCTTCCGGGAAGCGTCAAGGCGGCGTATTTGAAGGCTGAAAAGATGGTGGAGGAGCGGAGGGGGTTGGAGGAGAAGGTAGAGAGGCTGGAAGGGGAGAAGAGGCGAGTGGAGGAAGAGGGGGATGCTGCGGCAGCAAGGGGAGGAGGAGGGGGAGGTGGTGTGAGTGGCACGGCTCCTACCTTTGAGAAGACGGATGAGCTCATGCAGGCATACACGGTACGTTGATATGTGCATGGCATGACCATGTGCATGCATGGTATTCTTGAGAGGGAGGGGGAGGTGGTAATTGGGCTGCTCCTACCTTCAAGACGACGGATGAGCGCATGCAGGCATACACGGTATGGCGATGTGTGATATGACCATGTGTGCATGGTATTGCCATGTACATGGATTTGCCATGTGCCATGTGCCATGTGCATGGTATATATGAATCAACTCATGATTTATTGAAAGACGGCTCAGACAATGCAGGCATACATGGTGTCGTCATGTGCTTTATATGGTGACATAATTATCCCTTGTCATTTTCCAATGGTCCAATTGATTTCGGCCCCCTTGTCCTACCCTTTTTTCGCCCCCTGAACTGCTCTATTTCAAACCCACCCTCCCCCACCCCCTTTTCCCCACCTCCTTTTTCCCACCCCCTCCCACCCTATTCCTCCCCTTTCCTCGCTCCCACCTCTCTCCCAGGAGTATCTGGCGTTGGAGGCAGCCAGTGGCGACATGCCACGTCAGCAGGCCATGCATGAGAGGGCGGTCACTGGGCTGCCTGTGGTGTTCAACGTGTGGCAGAAATACATTGACCTCGTTGACCACAAGCTCAAGGTGCGTGTGGTGTGTGTTTGTGTTGAGTTTGAAAGCATTGACTTGGCTGACCACACCACTGTGGTGTTTGACGTGCGGCTCAAATTCATTGATCTCGTTGACCATAGGCTCAAGGTGCGTGTGGTGTGGAATGTAATGTGTTGACTCGACTGACCTGGTTGACCATAAGCTCAAGGTGGATGCATGCATGTGCAATAAATTTTCTCGATCTGGTTTATTTCAAGGTCAAAATGCATTGAAGGCACTTGCATACCTCGGCTTGGTCTTTTACACGTGGCTAGGTAAAACAGATAGAAACTAGCTGTTTCCATAAGCATCAGTTTTTGCTGTTTTTGTTTTTCTTGCTTTTCTTCTCTATTCACTGCTCTTTTTCTCCAGGTGCCATCTGTTGTGCGCTCAGTTTATTCTAGGGCAGCCCGAAACTGCCCATGGGTGGGCACTCTTTGGACACGCTATTTGCTTGCTCTTGAGCGATTGGGGGCCGCTGATGCTGACGTGGCAGAGGTAGGCCTTTCCCATCAGTGTGATCTTATTTATATACTTAAATATATGTATACATATAACAAGTAATCTATTTTCTGCTGCGTGCTCCCTCCCTCTGTCGATAGAAATTCTCATCCGGTTTTTTTCTGGGCTGTGCAGGTCTTTGAGAAGGCCCTTGTCTCTGGAGTTCAGTCTGCAAATGAGGCGAGTCCTCCCTTTCCTAGAACTCTCGTTTATCCTCCTCCCACCACCAATATCAAAGTATTCTGCCATTTTCCTCACTTTTCACCACGTTCGCTGCTTTCACCTGGTTTCAAGAAAATGAAAAATTCCTGCTATTTGTTGCTTTCGCCTCCCGCCCTGTCCCCCCATTGCCACGACAGTGTTCCTGCATTTTCCCCTCTGCACACTCAAGAATCACAGCATCTTACCTCTCCGTTCTCCCGCCCTGTTCACCCATCGCCACGACAGTACTTTGACATTTTTCTCACCCGCCTGGATGGTCTGAGGCGCCGCCTCATGCCTGTTCCTGAGCCCTCCAAAGGCGCTGCTAAAGGAGCAGCTCTTAGCGAGGATGAGAAGGCGAAGCTGGTAGCCACCCTGCGAGCAACCTTTGAGGTATGTATGCAGAACGCGTGTGATCAGAGCAGAGCAGCTGGCCTCTCCTCCTGAGCCTTTCAAGGGCGCTGTTAAACGGCCTGCTCTTAGCGGTGATGAAATTTACAAGCTCGTATCGTAGCCACCCTGCGAGCACCCTTTCAGTTGACGTACGTCGTGTGATTGAAGTAACCCATGCGGTCTGGATCTTCCCAAGGAGCTGTTAACGGGACTGTTCTTAGCGAGGATAAAACACTGAAGCTGGTAGCCTTGCGAGCATCCTGTGATTGAAGAAGTCCCCTCCTAACCCATTGTTTCACCACGCAGCTAAAGCATGGCATCATACTTTCCCAACCAACAGCAAGACCAGTTGCACTTGATAGCCACTGGGCACGTCTTGGGGTAGCAGGAGCTTATTGAAGTTCACATCTCCTGGTTTTTTCCGCTGATTCCCGCTTCCCGCCTTAACCATCCTTGCAGCGTGCACCTGAGTTCATGGCCTCATATTTCCCAGACCACCAGCAAGCCCAGCCGCATTGCACCTGACGGGTTACCACACTTACATTGGAAGCCACCCCACGCGGTCTCCTCCCTTGATTCCCGCTTCCCAACATTGCCCATCCTTTCTTGCAGCGTGCAGCTGAGTTCATGGCCTCATACTTCCCAGACCATCAGCAAGCACAGCTGCACCTGGCTGGGTATCAGGCGCACATTGAGTGTGCCTCTCCCCCTGTGCTTCCCTCCCATCTTGTCCCCCCCCCCACAGCGTGCGGCTGAGTTCATGGCCTCGTATTTTCCAGACCATCAGCAAGCACAGCTGCACCTGGCGGGGTACCAGGCGCACATTGAGTGCTTCCCTGCCTGGTGTTGATTCACCCTGCCCACCTCCTTCCACCCTCCTGTTTCTCCCTCCCCACTGCGCTCCCCACCTTACCCTCCCATCAGCGAGCATCCGAGTTCATGGCCTCATACTTCCCTGACCACCAGCAAGCACAGCTGCACCTGGCGGGGTATCAGGCGCACATAGAGTGCAACCCCACCTGTTTCCACCTCTCCCCACCTTGCCCATCTTTCTTGCAGCGCGCAGCTGGGTTCATGGCCTCGTATTTCCCCGATCACCAGCAAGCACAGCCGCACCTGGCGGGGTACCAGGCGCACATAGAGTGCAACCCCACCTGTTTCCCCCCCTTTCCCCACCTTGCCTACCTTTCTTGCAGCGTGCATCGGAGTTCATGGCCTCGTATTTCCCCGACCATCAGCAAGCGCAGCTGCACCTGGCGGGGTACCAGGCACACATAGAATGCCAGCTGGAAATAGCAGGGGAGGGGGCGTCTGGGGCAGGAGCAACTGGAGCAACAGGGGAAGCTGCTGGAAAGGCCATTTGGGAGCAATTTGTGAAGAAGCAGTGAGTATATATTATGGTTGTTGTTGCATATAGATTTCCAGCTAAATCTGAGTCGCGTTTGAGCATTTCCTTCCTGCTCCCCTCTCTTCCTTTTTTCCGCTCTCCCCACCCCACTAGCAAGTCATCTCACAAGGCTTTAAACCCACAGCTACTTGTCCTTAAGACGTCCTCGATTGTCCCTGGTCCTCTGTCCCCTTCCCTTTCTTTACAGCCAGTTAATTTACTTAAAAATACCCACCCTCGCTTGTCTCCCCTCCTAACACGCCGTGTCTCCCCTCCTCCCAACAGTGGCTCCTCTCACCAGGCGTGGCTGGGCTTCACTCAGTTTGAGACGGAGAGGGGGTGCTACAGCCAGGCACGGTCAGTCTTAACACACACTCTATGTCATTGCGCCCTGATTCCCTCGCCAGCGGCTCCTCCCACCAGGCGTGGCTGGGCTTCACTCAGTTTGAGACGGAGAGGGGGTGCTACAACCAGGCACGGTCAGTCTTCCGCCGCTGCTACAGCCGGAAGTTTGACTCACCCTCAGGCACAGAGGTATGGTCGGGGGCTTCCCTTGAAGTGCGTTGCATCTATTATATTCGCCACTGCTACGGCCACAAATTTGACTCACCCTCAGGCACAGAGGCAAAAGGTGTTGCTTTTTGGGCACCTAACTATTTCCATAGCTAGAACCAATCGCTCATGGATGAGTGTTCTTTCATGCATATGTATGCGCGTCTGCACTATGTTGTGTTTTTATGTGTGTGTATCTCCCTCCCTGTGTCTCAATCAATGCATGCAGGAGGTCTGCTCTGCCTGGATACGGTTCGAGAGGGAGTGGGGAACACTACTAGGCGACTTGTCAGTCGACTCAATACTCACATCACATTTGCCTGAGCGTGCGTGTTTCTCCCACCATGTGTCTCAATCAATGCGTGCAGGAGGTGTGTTCTGCCTGGATCCGGTTCGAGAGGGAGTCGGGAACACTCAGTGACCTCGATCTTGCATCAGATAAGGTACGGCTCAGGAGAGGATGCTTAATGTGAGAAGAAAAGTTAGAAGAGAAGTTGATGGATTGATTGAAAGGATGGGGGGTTTACATAGGAGATGAGTTGGAAACTAGCCTAGGTGAACATTATTGGACCCCAACCAAGGAGTTGGGTTGGGAGATTATTGGTGGGGTCCAATAATGTTGGCCAAGTTGGAGTTGGGCCAACATTATTGGAGGGGACCAATAATTCTACCCATCCCAACCCTTGGGGTCCAATAATTGGACCAAGGTTGGGTTTCCAACCTACAAATTGGGTAACCCCTACTTGTACACCCAAACTAAGTTTGGGTGCTTATCTCTAGCCTATCCTATAGCATATATGCAGGTTACAAGAGAGGAGATATTCTAACACTTAAACTTGCTCCTTTTTTTCTTTTAACGAGGGCATGCTTATAAGGAGGACATGTCACGAGGAGGGGGCTGTGCCCGAGCATTTGTTTCGTTTCTCCCTCCTTGATCTTGGCTGCTCTCTCCTACATCTGCTTCCTCCCCTGCTCTTGACCCATCTGCTCCCTCTGCTGCTCTTTGCCCATCTTCTCCCTCCCCCGCTCTTTTGAATTGAACCATGTGCTCGTATTAACAGGTTGCCCCACGCTTGGCTGAGGTAGCAGCATACCATGCCCAGGAGGATCAGGCGCAGCTGTACCAACAGCGCTTGCTCTTTTCCCTCCCTTCTTGTTGTTTCTACTCTCTCCTTCCCTCAGGTTGCTCCACGCTTGGCTGAGGTAGCAGCATACCATACCCAGGAGGATCAGGCGCAGCTGTACCAACAGCGCTTGCTCTTTTCCCTCCCTTCTTGTTGTTTCTACTCTCTCCTTCCCTCAGGTTGCTCCACGCTTGGCTGAGGTAGCAGCATACCATGCCCAGGAGGATCAGGCGCAGCTGTACCAACAGCGCTTGCTCTTTTCCCTCCCTTCTTGTTGTTTCTACTCTCTCCTTCCCTCAGGTTGCTCCACGCTTGGCTGAGGTAGCAGCATACCATGCCCAGGAGGATCAGGCGCAGCTGTACCAACAGCGCTTGCTCTTTTCCCTCCCTTCTTGTTGTTTCTACTCTCTCCTTCCCTCAGGTTGCTCCACGCTTGGCTGAGGTAGCAGCATACCATGCCCAGGAGGACCAAGCCCAGCTGTACCAACAGTGTTCGCTCTCCCTTCCTGGTCTTCCAACTCTCCCCTGCTCTTATTGGCAGGTTGCCCCGCGCTTGGCTGAAGTGGCAGCATACCATGCCCAGGAGGACCAGGCGCAGCTGTACCAACAGCACCGGCAGCAGCAGCAACAGAAGCAGCAGCAGGAGCAGAAGCAACAGCAGCAGGTGGAGCAAGGGCGTGGGCAAAAGCGCAAGGCAGGAGGAGTGGAAGCACGAGGAGAAGGAAGGGGTGGAGGGAAGGGGAGAGGAGGAGGAGCAGGAGGGGACGGAGGTGGAGGGGGTGGGGAGCGAGGAGGGGAGGGTGGGGGAAGAGACAGAGGCAAGAGGCAGCGTCCGGGATTAGGGTTTGACAAGCGGCAGGGGCGAGGGAAGGAGGGGTTAGGCAAGGAGGCAGGTTCGGCAGGTGATGGTTCGACAGAGGAAGGGAAAGAGACCGTGGGTGAGAAAGGAAAGGAGGGAGAGAAGGCGGAAGAGGGGGAAGAGAAGAAGGAAGAGGGAGGGGAAGGACAGGAGCAGGGAGGGCCGAAGCATGATGGGGAGGAGAAGGAGGCAGAGAGGAAGGAAGGAGAGGAGAAGGGGCAGCAGGGGCAGCAGGGGCAGCAGGGGCAGCAACAGGGCCGTTTCTTCACGGACAAGAATACAGTGTTCCTCTCGAACCTCGATCTTAGCGTGAGTCATCGCCTCACTTACTAACACTGCATACCTACTTACTTACCTACTCGTCTTTGACAGTTCCTTTTCGTTGTGGTTCTATTCTATCTCTTCTGTGATTTTGTCCCTCCCTCGAGACAATTACAGGCAGACGATACCAGGGAGCTGCTGAAGAGCTGACCTGTCCGGAATGCTGCCTATCTGAGAATTGGCAAGGAACGGGTTTGATCGCAGCAAGCCAAACTGAGAAGGACTGCGTCTTAAGAGCCGCAGCCCGCCGATCCCTTGTCTCTTGCTTCTCTCTTCTGTCTTTCTACCTCACCAGACGAATCAGGACCAGATTCGGAAGCTGCTGAGGGATTGTGGCGAGATTCGGGATTGATTGCAGCGAGCCAATCTGAGTACAATTGTCTCAATACACACTCTCTCTCTCTCTCTGCACTCAGACGACTCAGGACGAGATTTGGGAGCTGCTGAAAGATTGTGGCTTTTGAGGCGCCTCAGAAGGTCAATCTCGTTTTTGCCTTGCTTCTCTCCTTTGCTTCTCTCCCTTGCTTCTCTTCCTTGCTTCTCTCCCTTGCCTCTCTCCCGCTTGCTTCTCTCATCTGCCTTTGCCTCTCACCAGACGACTCGGGACGAGATCCTGGAGCTGCTGAAGGTTTGTGGCGAAATTGGGGTTTGATCACAGCAGGCCAATCTGAGAACGACTGTGTCTTTAACCCCCCTTCCTGTCTCTTGTGTCTCTCTCTCTCAACCCCAGACGATTCGGGACGAGATCCTGGAGCTGCTGAGGGATTGTGGCGAGATACGGGTATAATTGTGGCAAGTCATTTTGAAACGTGTTTCTCTCTTGCTTCGTCTATCACTTCTGTGTTTGTCCCTCACCCCCAGACGACTCGAGACGAGATCCTGGAATTGCTGAAGGATTGTGGCGAGATTCGGGACGTGCGGATGGTGTTCAACCACTCCACAGGGCAGTTCAGGGTGAGTGTGCCACGTGGCAGTGCCACGTGTGGTAAGGAATTGAGGCGAGATACGGGATGTGAGGATGGTGTTCAGCCAATTCCGGGTGAGTGCCACGTGGCAGATCAGGGTGAATGCCACGTGGCAGTTCAGGGAAGTGACACCTTGCAGTGCCTCGTGGCTGTTAACACGAGGGCCACGTGGCTGTTGGGGCTGTTGTTGCTTGTCTGAAGCCCCTTTCCCTCTGTCTCTTCCTCTTCACACCTGTGCTGCCCTTCTCAGGCTGTTTCCATTCATCTGAACTTCCACCCTCTTCTTTTCCTCCCCCACCCATCCATTTTGCATACTCTCTGCACTCTCCCCTCTCCCAGGGCTTGGCCTACGTGGAGCTGGGCAGTGCAGAGGCGGTGGCACGTGGCTGTGCGTTGACACCTATATTTGCCTCCTCTCCCCTCTCCCTCCTGCTCTCTCCCAGGGCTTGGCCTACGTGGAGCTGGGCAGTGCAGTGGTGGTGACAGCACAAATGGCAGGGCCGACGTGAAGCAACCCCCCTATTCTCTCCCAACCCCCTATTCTTTCTTCCCTCTCCCTCAGGGCTTCGCATACGTGGAATTGGGAAGTGCAGAGGCGGTGGCAGCAGCAGAGAAGCTCAACAGGGCGCCAGTGAGAGGGCGCCACGTGTCCATCAAGAAATCTGACCCCAGCCATGCCTCCGGGCACAGGGACAGGGGGAGGGGCAGGGGGAGGGGGTGGGGCGGAGGGGGAGGAGGGGGAAGAGGAGAGGGGAGAGGGAGGGGTGGAGGAGGAAGGGAGGCGCATGATGAAGCGGAGGAGGAAGGTGAGGGCTGATACTTTTTCTTGTTGTTTCTCCTAATGACTTGGCGTTGTTTTCTTATCGTTGCAGAAACTTGAAGCAGAGGAGGAAGTGTAGGGAGTCGCGCTGCTTCTTGTTTGCCCCTCCTCTTGTGAAGCGTGGAGTGGAGGGGAGGAGCAAACAAGAAGCAAACAAGAAACAATCCAGTACTGGATCGAGTTGCTGCTCATACCCTTGTAACCAGTTGCCCCCCTCCCTTTTCTGACTTTCCTCTCTTCCCCTCGCCCCTCCACTTCTCCCTCTGCAGCCTACCATCCTTCCAATCGGGGCGGCAGAGGCGGGCGGGGAGGCCGTGGTTTGCAGCCTTTGTCAGCTAGTGCGAGGCGGGCGGGTCAGTTGCAGCTGATTGGTTCTCCAACCTTTGCCATGCCTCGTGCCGTGGGGCAAGTTCTAGGGAGAGGTGTTGCTGGGGGGAGGGCGGGGGGAAGAGGCGGGGGAAGAGCAGGGGGGAGGGGTGGTGTGGGGAGAGGACAGCATGGGGAAGGGGGGACAAAGGGGGAGGAGGCGGGTGGAGGGGAGAAAGCGGAGGGTAGGGGGGGTGGTGGAGGGGAGGGAGGAGGGGGAGAGGCGAATGGGGCGGCGGGAGGATATGGTGGTGCTCCACTTGATTCTAATGCCGCTTTTAGAAAGCTTTTTGCTAAGAAGCTCGAAAACTGAAGGCTTTGTCGCTCTTCGATATCTGGTGGCATGGTACGCGAATGAGCGTACTTGTTGTGTGAATCATGCTATATTGACAAATATATACGGTACTAGGTTTGCGTTGAGGTGGATTGCGAACTGGTGATAGGTGTGGAGGTTGAGTGGCACGCCAAAGGTGCTGGAATAGATGTGCATCCCATTCTACCTAAAAGCAATACGGAAACTGACCAGCATTACCATATGATTTAGGTGCACTACTAGCTTACAGAACGGAACTCCCACACCGCCGAAGAATAAGGGCGCGTGTCTTTTGGTTTTTATAAGCAAAACATGGAATTTTTTGAAAGTGTATACACTTTCCAAAAATATATATTGTGAACGCGCAGCTGCCTATAACGCAGCAAGGCAACTGCTGAACTTCATTCCGAGTACATAACGAGGGTTGGAGGCCATTAGGCCTCCACCCACGTCTTCGTTTCGGAACTTCCGTTCCACTTCATTCTCATCCAACTACCAGCTACCTGGTCGTGTTCTAGTTTTCCCGTTCTCACCTCAGTCATGCCTACTAGTTTCCACAGCTTACCTCCAGAAAATTAAGAGGCTCGGAGTGGTGATGTTATACACATATGATTTTATTTTATTTTATTTTATTTTATTTCTCTCCCTCTCTCTTAGATCGAGCTCCTAAAACGAAGTTCCAGCGCCATCAAAGGCAAGGGGGTCGCGTCCGCGACTTCACTTCTGGGGCGCGATACAGGGCTCAGTGGGGCCCAGAGCAAGTGGCGAACGTGCCACTGGTGCGCCTGGGACGAGATCGCCGCTGGCGCGATTGGCGAGTAACGCGCCTGGCGACGAAATCGCCACTGGTGCGCCTGGAGACGAAATCGCCACGGGCGCACCTGGCTACGAAATCGCCAAAGGCGCGCCCCTAGCGACGAAATTGCAACATTCGCGCCTCGCGACGAGCTCGCCGATGGCGCGCCTGGTGTCGAGATCGTCGTAATTGGCGGCGCCCTCCAACGAAATCGCCACAAGCTTCTCGGGCGACGTAATCGCCAGACATGACGGGCGTCAATTGTAGTGACGCGTACCATATACAAAATTGCCAAGGCACACACACCTCTTGAGTAATCTTCTACCGGTATGTGTTGTCCGTTTTTTAACACATAAACTCATGTTTCTTCGGCTTGTTTATTTTCTTGGTCGCAGTAAATGGAATGCGAGGCAGCCGACGCGGCACGATGGCATCACTCGTGACAATGCGGGCAATGATGGCCACATCGTCAATCGTTGCATCTCCACGACCGTCCCCATGGGGGGAAGGGGACCGGGGGTCCCGTGCTGGCCATAGGGCCGTTCCCCATGGGGGGAAGGGGACCGAGGGTCCCGTGCTGGCCATAGGGCCGTTCCCCATGGGGGGAAGGGGACCGAGGGTCCCGTGCTGGCCATAGGGCCGTTCCCCATGGGGGGAAGGGGACCGAGGGTCCCGTGCTGGCCATAGGGCCGTTCCCCATGGGGGGAAGGGGACCGAGGGTCCCGTGCTGGCCATAGGGCCGTTCCCCATGGGGGGAAGGGGACCGAGGGTCCCGTGCTGGCCATAGGGCCGTTCCCCATGGGGGGAAGGGGACCGAGGGTCCCGTGCTGGCCATAGGGCCGTTCCCCACGGGGTGAAGGGGACCGAGGGTCCCGTGCTGGCCATAGGGCCGTTCCCCATGGGGGGAAGGGGACCGAGGGTCCCTTGCTGGCCATAGGGCCGTTCCCCATGCGTTCCCCATGGGGGGAAGGGGACCGAGGGTCCCTTGCTGGCCATAGGGCCGTTCCCCATGGGGGGCAGGGGACCGAGGGTCCCGTGCTGGCCATAGGGCCGTTCCCTATGGGGGGAAGGGGACCAGGGGTCCCGTGCTGACCATAGGGTGTTCCCTTAGGGGGGAAAGAGGATTGCAGTTGGCAAAGGGCCATTACACAGAGCATGGATGATGCTCATTGCATGCATTTACTCTATGTGGTTTCATGTCGCCCTTGGTTGTTACGACAATATCTTAAAAAAAAAAAAATGTTGTGTCCCAAACAAATTCTGGATGGTCACAAATAGTGTAGGCACCTTTCTTGGGGGACTTGTTACCGTAAGACACCTACGGTATAAAGTATGACATGCAACTACCGTATATGTACACGCACAGCACCCACCTGCTGCACCACCTATTATTGCATCACACCGATAGTGTATCACTGCACTCGACACGTGGACAATCCTATACGACGAGCTACTCTGCTTCAACTGCCAACACAAGCAACTAACTTCAACCACATGCATCCACCACACCGACGTCCAAGAAAAAGCAACTTTCACTTCAGCGACACGGCGCTACGACCAACAACTTTCATTCTTCGACGTCAACATCGACGCGACCAACACAACCCACGTTCGCCTCTCCACTCGCACATGTCTCCGAAGACCCATTGAAATGAAGCACGTTGCCTTGCAAGGAACAGAAAGCAAGCTTTCTCAATATGGAATTTTTTGAAAGTGTATACACTTTCCAAAAATATATATTGTGAACGCGCAGCTGCCTATAACGCAGCAAGGCAACTGCTGAACTTCATTCCGAGTACATAACGAGGGTTGGAGGCCATTAGGCCTCCACCCACGTCTTCGTTTCGGAACTTCCGTTCCACTTCCCACCCGCCCCCCCATCGGTACTATCATGCGTCATTGATCGTTGGACGAGAATGTTGTAATAACCCATTGAAATGAAGCACGTTGCCTTGCAAGGAACAGAAAGCAAGCTTTCTCAATTCGGTTTTTGGGTTGAACTGTAGGCATTTGAACCTAGGTCGACCTAGGCTCGAGTTTATCCACATCTACAAACCGAGTCGCGGCTCCCTCACTCTCGAGAATCACAGGACACACAAAAATTCATCTATCGAAGTTGAACTTTTACAGCCCCCCCGAGCCGCGACCTACTCTCGTAGGTTACCCCGTTTGGGCTCTTGACATCGAGGCACGTATGACACCCACCTACTCTCGTTGCTGTTGGAATTAAGGTTAATTCGGGTTGCTCCAATAAACATATGTAGTGACAGATCCACACTAGTGTAAAAAATACATTGGTTGGGTTGGGAGAACTTGTGGTGTACACTCTTTAGAGTGGACCACCTCCCAAACCCTATAGGTTAAGGTTCTCTCTTGTTGGAACCCAACTTCTTGAAATCACTTTGGTTCTAGCATGGTTCATGCCAAAGTGGGCTCCTAAGATTCCTATGCTTTAGGAGGAGGTTCTAAGATTACTAAAGCTTCCGCTAGTAGTTTAGTCAATTCTAACATGGTATCAGAGCTAGGAAGACCTAGCAATCTGTTGGAATAAGAGCTACCCAAGAAATTTGATCATAACATCTTGGTGGAAGCTTTTTAGCTTCCATCCCTCCCGAAGAGCTGGCGAAATAGCACCGTGGCGGACTCTGGACGTGGAAGGGGAGGAGGAGAAAAGAAAACTGCTGGAAATCGTGTGGATCCGTTCGGGAGGACGAGAAGAGCGACATCCATTCACGGAGGTGCTAAGTCAACTTTGGCCGATCAAGACTTGCAGCATACCGTTAGAAAGGTCTCAGCACGATCTACAACGATTGCCTCAGAGTGGTCACCAATCGACGAGCGGATCGGACGCAATTCACGAAAAACTGCCGGCGGCCGAATTGGAAAATCGCGAATCGGGGACGATATAAAGCGCGGAAAAGAAATTGGAGGGCGGGCGCCAAGAGAGGACACCAGGGCGCATCTAACAAGCCAAAAATCGGACGAAACGGTTGAGTCTTCGTCGACGAAAAATCGGCCAAATTCGACGAGTTTAAGCGGACAGCTCGGACGTGGGATCCCAAAGCGCGATACATCGTTGGAAAGGGCTCGGAGCGAGAATTCATCAGAATTAAACGGTTTATCATTTGGAGGTTCGAGCGCGGAGTTACGCTCCAAAAACCAATAGGGGGTGAATCTGTCCGCATCGTCTTCACCGTCGCCGTCGTTGCCCCCACCACCACCTCAACGTCAATCTTCAGTGCCTGCGCCACAAATAGATTATGACTCAGGCGAAGGGAAGCTGGAGAGTGCGCCAAAGTTTGTCGGAAGCGACTATTGGACTTGGAGCTTCCGATTCGAACAATGGGCAGAGGCGCACGATCTATGGGGGTACTTTGATGGCTCGGAGGCGCGACCTGCAACGGGTGACGCACGGCTGAAGTGGGAGAGGAAATATCAGAAGGCATTCGCCCAATTTTGCAATGCCTTGGTGCCAGATGAGCTGATTCGCTTGGTACGGGAGTTCGGTGGCAAGACCAAGTTGGGCGGCGCACATGTTGATGGCGGAGCAAGAGCAGTCACCCGGGTTCCTGCAGCCACAGCAGCGGCATACACACGAGTGAAG